CCCTACCTGCAACCACAACACTTCAATAACACTTGACGTAAGATCTTCTCTAAGCATTACAGGGATATGGCTCAGAATATATACAGCAACACCTACCCCATAAGCATTCCTGTCTCTTCTATAGATGTTATATCCTTGTATTGCTACTGCTTTATCATCAAATTAATTATCTAAGTTAGTCTCAGAAATGTCTAATATACACTATATATACAAAAGTATGTGGACACCCCTTCAGATTAGTGGATTTGGCTATTTCACCCACACCCGTTGCTGACAGGTGTAGAAAATCGAGCACACAGCCATGCAATCTCCATAGACAAACATTGGCAATAGAATGGCCCGTACTGAAGAGCTCAGTGACTTTCAACGTGGTACCATCATAGGATGCCACCTTTCCAACAAGTCAGTTCGTCAAATTTCTGCCCTGCTAGAGCTTCCCCGGTCAACTGTAAGTGCTGTTATTGTGAAGTGGAAATGTCTAGGAGCAACAACGGCTCAGCCGCGAAGTGGTAGGCCACACAAGCTCACAGAACGGGACCTCCGAGTGCTGAAGCGCATAGTGCATAAAAATTGTCTGTCCTCAGTTGCAACACTCACTACCGAGTTCCAAACTGCCTCTGGAAGCAACGTCAGCACAATAACTGTTCGTCGGGAGCTTCATGAAATGGGTTTCCATGGCCGAGCAGCCGCACACAAGCCTAAGATCGCAATGCCAAGCGTCGGCTGGAGTGGTGTAAAGCGCGCCTCCATTGGACTCTGGAGCAGTGGAAACGCGTTCTCTGGAGTGATGAATCACACTTCACCATCTGGCAGTTTGGCGGATGCCAGGAGAACACTACCTGCCCCAATGCGTAGTGCCAAGTGTAAAGTTTGGTGGAGGAGGAATAATGGTCTGGGGCTGTTTTTCATGGTTCGGGCTAGGCCCCTTAGTTCCAGTGAAGGGAAATCTTAACGCTACAGCATACAATGACATTCTAGATGATTCTGTGCTTCCAACTTTGTAGCAACAGTTTGGGAAGGCCCTTTCATGTTTCAGCATGACAATGCCCCTGTGCACAAAGCGAGGACCATACAGAAATGGTTTGTTGAGATCGGTGTGGAAGAACTTGACTGGCCTGCACACTGACCTCAACCCCATCGAGCACCTTTGGGATGAATTGGAACGCAGACTGCGAGCCAGGCCTAGTCGCCCAACATCAGTGCCCGACCTCACTAATGTTCTTGTGGCTGAATAGAAGCAAGTCCCCGTGGCAATATTCCAACATCCAGTGGGAGCCTCCAGAAGAGTGGAGGCTTTTATAGCAGCAAAGTGGGGGGGGGGGACCTACTCCATATTAATGCCCATGATTTTGGAATGAGATGTTTGACGAGCAGGTGTCCACATACTTTTGGTCATGTAGTGTATAAATGTAATCTGATGTTAGCAAGTTATTGATTTCATGAACCTTATTTCTAAGGCTGCATATATTAATATGGGCTATTTTCAGCTCTTTCCTGGGTAGCATATCAGAGATAGATATAATATGGAAAAGAGCAACCAAAGCAAGATAAAATATACATTCAGCAATCCATTAATCAGTTGGTGTGTGTAAGTGTGTGTGTGCTGCAGGGTCGAAACTACGAACCCATAGGCTTGGCTCTCTCATCCCTTCCAGGCTTTTGGGAGGGAGGGTGGATAATGAGCCTGTCATAGCGGATGTAAGCAATGTCCCCACTTGCTCTGGCCGCTTTCATGGCTGGGATAAGTTATTTCCTCTTCTGGCATACAGAGAGGCAGAGGTAGAGACGGAGAGGCAGCGGTAGAGACAGAGGTAGAGACAGAGAGGCAGATCTAGAGACAGAGGTAAAGATAGAGAGGCAGAGGTAGAGACAGACAGGCAGAGTCAGAGACGGACAGTGACAGGGCAAGCAGTATGGTAGCTAGCTAGCTAGCTAGCTAGCTAGGGGTGAATGTAAAGTCAGGAACTTGGGATGTTTTGTTGGTGGGCTGTTCTTTGCTTGCCAAAGTAACTTAGCTATCTTTTATTATTCACTAGTATTTACTATTTACACGCATTGTAGCATTCTATTATATTGTCGTAGAAGCATTGAAATGCCCTCTAACAGACACTGTTGTTTTCCTTAACTGTTAATACTTTTGACATTTTCAGGTTGTCCAAAATGATATCCGATAATATTGTGTACTTCCTGCCATGAAATGCAGACATGGATCAGGTAGGTTATTAGGTTATATGGACAAGTGAAGGAGTATTGGTTGTTTGCATCTCATTTTGATGTACAGTGTTTGTGCATGCTAGTCATGCATGGCTAATCGTCTACCATTGATTCAAGATGTATTTGTTGATATGTCAGTGTAAATTACATAACAGTAATACTCTGAAAGCCTATAGAGGTGTGAGGTTTCTGCAGGGCCTCTTATCTGGAGGAGGATAAAGGCTATGTCCCAATTCTCCACCCTTCTCCCAAAGTGTGCACTTGCACACTTCCCGTCAGGGATTTAACAATGGTGGAAACTCCCCCCTGTCACGACTTCCTCCGAAGCTGCCTCCTCTCCTTGTTCGGGCAGGCTTCGGCGTTCGTCGTCACCGGTCTTCTAGCCACTGCCGCTCCTTATCTCATCATTCCATTTGTTTTGTCTGTTTATTACACACACCTGGTCAGTACCTGTATAAGTGTTCCCTCTGCCCCCTTGTCTTTGTGTGTGATTGTTTATTGTGGAGGTTAGTTTAGCTCGGTGGAGCTCCTGTTATTTTGTATTGCCGGGATATTCACCCGTGTGCCTTGTTGTTTCCCAGTGAGCCTGTTTTACGCACTGGAGTGTTTGACGCATTGCTGCATACCGCTGTGTTTTGGAATAAACCCTTTTATTCTGTGATTTACCCTCCTGCTCCTGACTCCTTCAAAATCACTCACCACACCCCCAGACAATGCTTACACCAATCCAATGCTTTTAAATCCATGACGGGGAGTGTGCAAGTGCATAGTTTGGCTGAAGAGAATTGGGACTTAGCTGTAGTCAGAGCTGATGATGCCAGACGTCTGCCTGCCCTGCTGAGCCTGCTGTACTGAGAGTGTTCTTGGGAATACCCATACTTCTCCTTTATTTAGATCGCTTCCCATTTCTGTGCTCTGTGCTATACCGTGGCCTAGTGCTGTATGTGTTCTCACTGTCAGATCAAAGGCTCCAAGAGCAGGGACAGGCCACATACTGTAGACCTCATTGATATTTTATAATGCCACCATCATGTATGTTATCAGCAGTCTAACAAAGCAGGCCATCACCTATTTGGTAACGCACATTGACCTGGTTACTTAGCAATGGCAGATCTAGCTATAACTTTTTGTTGCATATCTACTACTACTACTATAAAAAGCGAAGTCCATGGTAGCTGTTATTAGAAGATAAGAAGTATACTGAGCATAGAATAAGTATATAGAGATAGCTACATTGGCCCAAGTCATCAGTTGATCAATTGATACTACTGGCACATTAGATAATGGCACTAGGCCCCTATTTATTTTTATCAGAGTTAGTGAGTCTAGTTCTTTGTCTGTTTCATTCTCTATAAACAGAGTCTAGAAGGGAGTCTGGCTCTGTGTTTGGCCATAACTGTTACTGTCAGACCACTGTGGTTTAGCCACTGCACAGAAAAGTGCTCGGAAAAAGAGGAGGAGAAATGTGGTTTTGAAGGCGTACTGGCTACTCTCTAAAGAATAGTCTTGGCAGCTTTGTAGGTATACGGTGTATTAGATTTACATACAAATCTATTACATTATACTTTTAATTAAACTTTTAATTGAAATTGACTTCCATTATACATCAAGGTGATGATGTTTTCTCTATATAATAAATGTTCCTGTCTATGACTCTGACTTGTAATTAGCAAAGTAACAGAATGTTTTGTTTTTATGGTTGTTTCCAGATCGCCTCTCTTGCTGGGCCTGCATATTTTAGCAATTTGATTAAATCAGATTACTAGTTTTATTTGATTTCATTTTCTGAGGTCAGTTGTTTTAGAGTATGTTTGCCATCTTGTGCTTTGTTTACCATCTGATGTTGTTTTGTGTTAATGGTCTGCCCATGCATTGATACATGTTTTACTGTTTATTTTGATCATAGAACAGATTTTCTTGCATTATCTATTGTTGTATTAAAGCTAACCATGCCATCTTACTTTGCCCTGTTCTCAACATTGGCTTTTTTTGTGTGGACATTTTCATTTACATGTTATCTACACACTGAATATACATGTTAGTCATTTAGCAGAGCGATTTACAATTAGTGCATTCATCTTAAGATAACTAGATGAGGCAACACATAAAAATCGTATCAAGTACATTTTCCCTCAACAAAGTATTTATCAGCAAAGTCAGTGCTTGGAAAATATTACATGGTCATCAGGCATCAGCGAATAGACAGTCAGCCAAGTGAGGACCTGCTGATGTTGGCCTGTTGGCCTTTGTGATGCTTGGGTCCACAGATGGGGCTCTCTGTCTCTCAGTGAGCTCAGCACCCGCTGGGCAGTCCCCCTGCAGCACAGCAGTGACCAGACCTGCTGTCTGTCTGCAGCCTGGCCAACAGTTAAGCCCTATTGATTCTGCTTCAGTTGAGCTGATGTGTTGATATCCTAAAAGCTCTCTCTGTCACACTGACACCCAAGCTTCCCACTGGGCATAGACGTCAATTCAACATCTATTCCACATTGGTTCAACGTAATTTAATTGAAATGACGAGGAAACAACGTTGATTCAACCAGTGTGTGCCCAGTGGGCTGGGCCTGCCAACTGAAGAGTGGATGCGTATCTAAGCAGACAATAAAAATGTAATAAATATATGACCTTGACGTCAAATTACCTGTGTAATTAGCATGATGTTTGAAGGTGATGGACTTTCAAATGTGTTCAGTTGGTGCGCTATTATGCAAATACATTGAACGAATGAACAGTGTACCAGGAAGTTACCGTGAAAAAAAAAATCCCGACAATTTAACACATGAAGTTCCTCATTCTGTTTGGTGATTGTAACAGTCCATTACAGTCCATTCTCGGATCTAATGAAGAGCAAGACATACGAAAGTTGCGGATTACAACAATTTGTCTTTATTTGGCTAAACCGCATCTATAACTAGTGAAATTTGACAGGTAAGTCTAGCCTATATTATGACATTGCACCTCTATTCTATAGCCTATCTGTCTTTTAAAAGTTAGCAGCAGTTTTTTTTTATCAAGCATGTGTTCATTTGTATTTCTATAAACATTAGGCTAGTCCATTTATTTGGCAAAATAGTCCACATTTTCTCAATAAAAAAAACGTCATACGATCCACTTAGTTTAGTGCGCAAGTTTAAGTTGTTCTGAAACCTTTGTCTAATGAAATTGGTCTGTGTACCAACTTGGCGTAGCCTGTGTTTTCAATTTGGTATGTTTTAAGAGCAGACATATTATTCCCCAAAATGGTGGGTTTTAAAATAAAGAATTCCAACTGTAGACTGCACTATGCAGCTACAGTCTCATAAACCCGACCCTAGTAGCGTTTATACATTGTGCGAGGCAACAAGTCTGCGGAGGGAGACTTCTGTGCAGCAGCTTCCTAACGCCATCCCGCTCACACTTCACAATGGTGTGATGGACATTCCTGCCGTGTGCACGCCCACACTGACTGTGCCCTCCAAAGTGCGTGAGGCATGGTCTAAGTTTATTTTTGTGAGGCATGGTCTAAGTTTATTTGTATGTATTCAACATTATTAAATGGAATTGCATTTTCTGCATTGTTTAACCAACTTAATTCCCCCCCAAAAATGAATATTCCTTGACCTAAATAACACCAAAGAGAAATACATGCCTTATGCAGAGAGGGTTTTTCGCTTTTCTGGCAAAAGGCAGTGGCTGGTCAAATGAGGAAGTGTACAGAAGCCACAGTAGCCTCTATTCGTCTTCTTCTTCTAATCTGTCTAGAGCCGTTTCCTGGCTGTCATCTAAATAATCAGCCGCAACACTTGTGACAGCCAGAGCCTGAGACCCAGAGCCTGAGACCCAAAGGACCCAACAGGGTTAAGGTTGTTTTTAAGCAGAGAGCACTAGAGGTGTTGAATGCTTTCTTCTTATCACAGATATTTTGCTTAATGGTCTAATGCATTGTCCATATCATCCAATGACAGTGCAGTAGTACAAACAAATGCTATGGTTCACTATGGTTCACAATCAGACGTTCATTATTGGAAAACCGTGAAAAACAAGGACATTTCTAATCTATAATGAACAAAAATATAAACGCAACATGTAAAGTGTTGGTCTCATGTTTCATGAGCTGAAATATAAGATCCCAACACAATGCCACAGATGTCTCAAGTTTTGAGGGAGCGTGCAATTGGCATGCTGACTGCAGGAATGTCCACCAGAGCTGTTGCCTGAGAATTGAAAGTTCTCCAACGTCGGTTTAGCGAATATGACAGTACGTCCAACCGGCCTCACAACAGCAGACCGCGTGTAACCACGCCAGCCCTCCACATCAGGCTTCTTCACCTGTGGGATCGTCTGAGGGGGTGCTGAGGAGTATTTCTGTCTGTAATAAAGCCCTTTTGTGGAGAAAAACTCATTCTGATTGGCTAGGCCTGGCTCCCAGGCCCACCCATGGCTGCACCCTTGCCCAGTGATGTGAAATCCATAGATTAGGGCTTAATGAGTTAATTTAAATTGACTGATTTCCTTATATGAACTGTAACTCAGTAACATTTTTGAAATTGTTGCATGTTGCATTTATATTTTTGTTCAGTATAGTTTCTGATCTGGTTCTGGTTTCCATTTGGGATAAATTAAATACAAGACAAGGACAAATTAATGGTGTGCCTTTAAGCTGTTAGTTGGCCAGAAAGCAAAACTGATCAAGATTCTCATAGGGGTCCAAAGTTTGAGGAAACAGTAAATGTGTTCAGTTTCTTCAAGGAAAAAAAATACCTCACACTCTGATAAAATAAATTCTAATTTTGACTGGAATAGTTAATAACTATTCATGTTTTCCCTCCCTCAGTTTTAATGACACACTAGTTTAAGATCAAACAATAGGCCTATTGTATTAATTATATTATTTTGTAGCTCTTGATATAAGACAATATCTGTAACTTATAACTGAAATCATTGGAGAATTCTCCTGGACACTGAGCATTGGAGTGTGTAAATGTGTTTTGACACAGGAAATCATGTCTTGCCCCAGACCTCAGTGAACCAGCTGTACAACTGTGTTTCCTGCTGGTAGACAGCAAACCGCAGCCTGTATTGAATGTCTATGGTATTAACCTACATAGCAGACAATGTACCAATCTAAGATTGTGACCTTCACAGTATAGTATTGTTGTTATACTCAACCACTACTGCTCCAAACTCCACGCACATGTGTGTCTGTGTGTGTGTGTGTGTGTGTTTGTGTGTATAGGTGTGTGTGTGAGAAAGAGAGTGTGAGAGAGAGAGAGAGAGATACTGATATACAACCACTGCTGCTCAAAAACCCACTCTCTTCTATTTTGAGGTGTAACTTCATTTGCCGTCCTCGCTGAATCAAGTGGTGTTGTAGTGTAGTACAGGAGAGACCTCAACTCCACTGAGAGACCATGTCTAACTGAGCCCAGCTGTTGAGACAGAAAGAGCCTAACTCAAATATCCATACTTAGTTTATACTGGCTTGTTGCTCAGAGATATGTACTCGGTCTGAATATGAAACCATTTGTCATTTCCAATCCTAACAAATCAGAAGGACATAAAATAAACAAGTTAATTATTGACAATTCACAAACACTGTTAATGTTTGTGAATATATCAACTTTAAATGAGTGAGTGAGGTTTGATATGTGTTAGGTTGTGTGCGATTAATAATAAGGCAAATAAATAGATATTTACAGTGTATTGACACAGTTGAATCCTGATCAGTGCACTTTGATTAATTATCAACTCTGTTGTGCACTGTCATGGTAACTTAGTCCCAAGCCATTACATTTATCAGGACATCTACTGTATGTATTAACAAGTAATTTGTGTTTATGAGCAGTGGTCATGAACAGTAGGTCATGAACACTGCTCACACACACGTAGCCAAGCACACACACACACACTGTCAATGTTTATCTATGTTTGATATTAGTGTCTTGATAATCATCTGGGTTACGTTTCCCGTCACTCATTCCTTAATGGCCATTTTGTTGGAATATTGAAATGATGAATAGCAAGCCTTGCTCCCAATTCTATGTGCCCATCTGTGTTATTAACCAATGGAAAATATGAGGTCAATACATTAAAGTTAACTTCTGTGTCTTTCCCAACAGACAACATGGGTTGTAAAAAATCAAAGCTAAATGACGGTCTGAATGGAGGTGTGCTTGATGGCAAGAACCAACAGCCAGTACGTCCCGACCAAACTGTATATGTGAGAGATCCCACCTCCAGTAAACCAAATGCTGCAGTAAGTAGTACTGTCAGGGGAAACAGTATTTTTTTTTAGTAATTATTCTTGTAGTGTTAACAGCTGTTATCACTACAAAAAAATCCCTGACCTGGAAACAATTGACAAAATTGGTTCAAGTGTGTTATTAATGAATCTTCGAATATTGAAAAAGTAACCAAATGATCAATGTTTTTATTTAAATGGACCCAATAGCACAAATGTCAGTTTCCAGCCATCTCTCTCTCTCTCTCTCTCTCTCTCTCTCTCTCTCTCTCTCTGTTTCATCTATTCACTTTAGATTATCCTTAGATTCAAACTACTATTCATAGATTAGCACAATAAAACCATAACGAAATTTGACAAACTACTGTTCAAAGTACTGAAATGAAATCATCTCTTGGTGCAGAGTAACTCACCTCCTGGAGGTCTCCTGCCTGGTCAGGTATTCATGAAAATGGAAGGTATGCTTGTTGTATTTCTTTATCGCACACTATTACAGTAATATTTGATGCGGAGCAAATATTGTATGGTGTTTCCATTTCCTTTGCAGTGCATTGTGCAGTGCATTATTCCAATAATATTTGATTGCAGAGAAATGTTCCCACTGTCCCTCTTATCTCACACAGAGCAATCTGAGTCTGGTAAAATAGTCATTGCAGTATACCCATATGATGCAATACACAAAGACGATTTGGGATTCAAGAAGGGCGAAAGGCTTAAGGTTCTTGAAGAGTAAGTGTCAATCCAATGTAGGACTAAGAGGAATATTGTTTGCTCAAGCATTTTATATAAAGATAATAGTGTCATCATTGAATAGGTAGATTCTTGTTGTGTCCCTTCCTTGACTTGAGGCTTCATTGACATATGAATCATAACTGTTTTCAGGCATGGTGAATGGTGGAAGGCTAAGTCTCTGACCACTAAGAAAGAAGGATTCATACCCTCCAATTATGTTGCCGAGGCCAATACCATGGAGACAGAGGAGTGAGTGTCGTCATCACAATGACTTTTACACATTTCTCTCAGAGCCAACAAGGTTTTCTATTCACCGTTAATGGATGCACATACTGTAGCTGTTATTATTCATTCATTTCGGGGGAAGATTGGATGTCTAAATTGTGCCACTATAATATTGTTTTTCTGTTCTGCGTAGATGGTTTTATAAGGATATTACAAGGAAGGACGCAGAGAGACAACTTTTGGCACCTGCAAACAAAGCAGGATCTTACCTCATTCGTGAGAGTGAGACATCAAAAGGTAAGGACCAACTGGAGAAACTAAGTCTCTCTAATGAAAATAGATGGTCCATGATTCACTCTATTGTATTTGGATGTCTGAATGTCTGAGTATGATTGTGATAGTTGTTTCTCTTTATCAGGAAGTTATTCCATGTCCATCAGAGATGTGGATGCCCAGGGGACAGACACTGTGAAACATTATAAGATCCGCATGCTGGATAACGGAGGCTTCTACATCTCTCCTAAAATCACATTCCCTAATATTGGCAGCATGATAAAACATTATCACAGTGAGTACCACTGTATTTGAGCCCACCTCTAATATTGCACACACTTAAACATCTTGCTTGGTTACTCTTCACTTTGACCATTTATGACCTTGAACTTCTCTTGGCTTCTTTCAAATTTCAACTTTCAACTTCTCTATTCACTAAAAGTAAATAAAGAATATCTTGTCTAAAGAATATAGTAGTGTCACTCTGCTATGTCTCAACATTGGTTTGTTGTGTGCTTGTCAGAACAATCGGATGGTCTCTGTCGAAAGCTGGAGAAGCCGTGCGATAAACCCAAAGCTCAGAAGCCATGGGACAAAGATGCCTGGGAGATCTCCAAGGAGTCCATCAAGATGGTGAAGAAACTAGGAGCAGGACAATTTGGTGAAGTGTGGATGGGTGAGTCAACGAAAGAGACTCCCTGTCTGTTGGAGGAGTGTGTTGTATGTGTGTGAGTGTACAGCAGTGGTTCCCAACCTTTTTTGGTTACTGTACCACCAACTGAATTTTGCTCTGCCTGGAGTACCCCTGAAGTACCCCCTCATGTGCATTTTACCAGTAGGCCTATGGTCTCATGAGTCTTCCTAAGTACCCCCTGTGGAAAGGCCAAGTACCCCCAGGGGTCTTAGTACCCCAGGTTAGGAACTGCTGTTGTACAGTATGTGACTGTGTGTCATTTCACCAAGAACATAGTAGTGGTGATGATTAGATATCCCAAATTAGTAAATAATCTTTATTGTAATGTAAATGGATGCATGAGTCATGGCAGACCTTTGGTCAGAATTCTCCATTGTTTTTTAATACTATCACTTTAATGTGGTGTAATTGTATCAGGGGTAGGGCAGCTGAGACAGACAGGCATAGTCAAATGTTGATCCTACTGTCTCTATGAGATTGTGAGCAGCCTTAGAGAGTGGAGGGATGGGACTGGTACTAGGAACTGTTGGCGCTGTTATCAGAGGCATCTGTAGAGGAAATGTGAGTGTGTCTGATGTCGAATTTGCATTGGATTTTGTTATTATTCATGTCCTCCCTTCCCGCAACTCAGCCTTGATGAAATGCAGGAAGTTGTCATCTTTGCAAATATACAAATGGACTGTGGGGCCTCCTGTACGGCGCTCAAGATGTTTCCTTTGTTTTCTCTGACCTCATTGGCATTAAGGGCTTTTCCTATGGCACAGTGAGCCAGCCAGCCAGACGGAGCCGTCGACAGTCCTGTTTCCTCTCATTCACCTCCTTGCATTTGTTATGTCTCTGGAGAATTTAGTCCCCTCTTCTCTATGAAAAAAAAAGGAATTAAGAGGTTTAGATTAGGATGAAGTTCAGGGCTTGTTCAGCTAGCACATTAGAAACACAATAGAATTGTTGGAGACTTACATTACCGGTCAAAAGTTTTAGAACACCTACTCATTCAAGTGTTTTTCTTTATTTTTATTATTTTCTAAATTGTAGAACAATAGTGAAGACATCAAAACTATCAAATAACACATATGGAATCATGTAGTAACCAAAAAAGTATTAAACAAATCTAAATATATTTTATATTTGAGATTCTTCTTTGTTTAACACTTTTTTGGTTACTACATGATTCCATATGCGTTATTTCATAGTTTTGATGTCTTCACTATTATTCTCCAATGTAGAAAATATTAAAAATAAAGAAAAACCCTTGAATGAGTAGGTGTTCTAAAACTTTTGACCGGTAGTGTATGTGATAAAGAAATGCTATTCTGGATGGAGGGTTCAAAATGCTCAAACTTGTACTGAAACTCCACTTGTTAGTCAGTGATGTATACAGATAAACTCCCTAGCGTGTATTTTATTAGGTCTATCCCAATTGGCACCCTATTCCCTACATAGTGCACTACTTTTGACCAGAGCTCTATGAGCCTTGGTCAAAAGTAATACACTATATAGGGAATATGGTGTCATTTGGGACGCACACTTAGAGTTATTGTTTTGAATCAGTGGTCTCTCTGGCAGTTCCATCATCATTCCCCTGAGACGTCATACAGTTGATGTTTGTTCAGAGGGCAGTGAAGCTGAAACGCAGGAATGTGTATCTGTCTCAAGGCTCCTGCTGTCTACTTTTAGCTCTCTCAAACAAACTTATTTTCTTCTGAACTGTTACAGCTTAATTCCTTAATTCTATTTATTGAGTATGTACTACGCTTCACTACTCTCTGGCATACTTAGCACTGCCATTGGTTCCCTTGTTGCTTAATCGTGTGAAACAGCATGCAATCACTGTCACCTGTTTATGTGAAATATTCCAAACAAAATGTCATTCAAATAAAAAGACAAAAAGATACAGTAGGTAGTCCTAGAGGTCAGAATACATTTTTATATACTTCATACTGTGTAAATCCCTAATTGCAGCATTCTACAACAACACGACCAAGGTGGCAGTGAAGACACTGAAGCCAGGCACCATGTCAGCGGAGGCCTTCATGGAGGAGGCTAACCTGATGAAGACCCTGCAACACGACAGACTGGTGCGCCTCTACGCCGTCGTCACCAAAATCGAGCCCATCTACATCATCACAGAGTACATGTCCAACGGTAACACACACTTCAAGTCCAATTCCTAATAATTTTGCCAACATGGACTGTTTTCATCAATACACACCATTTGATGTTACATGAGTTATGTAAGTGTTCTGTAAGTCACCTTTGCACATTTTAATTGGTTTGGTTTCTATTCCTCAATTTTGTTTCTTTACTTTTTTAGGTAGCCTCTTAGATTTCCTAAAAAGTGAGGTAGGCTGCAAAGTACAGCTACCTAAGCTCATCGATTTCTCTGCACAGGTAATGCATGTTCGTCTTACATCTCTGTATGTCAGAATGATTAAGATTATTGCTAAACTTTATAGACTCTTTCCATTTAAGAAGTAGATGCTGATGTCACTTTTTCCATTGGTAAACCAGAAAAAGGAACAGCAACTAAATAATATGTTAGGTTCCACTTTCCAAATTAGTTGCAACAAACTAAGAACATAGAAGTGACAAGTGAAGACCATCCAGTGGTCCCTCACACATGCCTATTATAGTATGTGTCTCATGGAAGTAGAAGAAATGTGATTCAACCAAACAGTCAATACACAAAATGATGATTCATAAGGTACCATTGATAACATGCTTCCCCAAAGAAGTAAACGACCTAAAAAAAGGTCACACATTTTGAAGGGAAAATACCTCATTCAATGTAGGTCAGTACACTTGAGATACTAATTAGTTCAATAGAAATTTGTAAAGAACTTTAATCAGGTCTTTGTGGAGTGACTGAGAGGTGTGGTCAGTTCTGGTGTGGGAAAACTGCATCTTGCCACAGTTGCAGAACATGTTAGACAAAGTGAAAGAGGATGCAGTTGGGGAAATGGTCTGATTACCAGATCGACCCTTTCCCAGAATGGACTCAGCTCACTTAAACCTGTTGAGTAATAACCAAGTCAAATGTTTGGTAGCTAATTCAATTCTAACAAGAGGTAAAATACAAACATTAACTACACTATATATACAACAGTATGTGGACACCCCTTCAAATGAGTGGAATCGGCAGTTTCAGCCTCACCCATTGCTGACAGGTGTATAAAATCGAGCACACAGCCATGCAATCTCCATAGACAAACATTGGCAGTAGAATGGCCTTACTGAAGATCTCAGTGGCTTTCAACGTGGCACCGTCATAGGATGCCACCTTTCCAACAAAGTCAGTTCGTCAAGATTCTACCCCGGTCAACTGTAAGTGCTGTTATTGTGAAGTGGAAACGTCTAGGAGCAACAACGGCTCAGCCGCGAAGTGGTAGGCCACACAAGCTCACAGAATGGGACCACCGAGCGCTGAAGTTTGTAGCGCGTAAAAATCGCCTGTCCTCGGTTGCAACACTCACTACCGAGTTCCAAACTTCCTCTGGAAGCAACGTCAGCACAATAACTGTTCGTCGGGAGCTTCATGAAATGGGTTTCCATGGTTGAGCAGCCGCACACAAGCCTAAGATCACCATATGCAATGCCAAGCATCGGCTGGTGTGGCGTAAAGCTCGCCGCTATTGGACTCTGGAGCAGTGGAAACGTGTTCTCTGGAGTGCTGAATCACGCTTCACCATCTGGCAGTCCGATGAACGAACCTGGGTTTGGCGGATGCCAGGAGAACACTACCTACCCCAATGCATAGTGACAACTGTAAAGTTTGGTGGAGGAGGAATAATGGTCTGGGGCTGTTTTTCATGGTTCGGGCTAGGCCCCTTAGTTCCAGTGAAGGGAAATCTTAACGCTACAGCATACAATGACATTCTAGACGATTTTGTGGTTCCAACTTTGTGGCAACAGTTTGGGGAAGGCCCTTTCCTGTTTCAGCATGACAATGACCCGTGCACAAAGCGAGGTCCATACATAAATGTTTTGTTGAGATCGGTGTGGAAGAACTTGACTGGCCTGCACAGAGCCTTGATCTCAAACCCATCGAACATCTTTGGGATTAATTGGAACACTGACTGCGAGCCAGGCCTAATCACCCAACATCAATGCCCAACCTCACTAATGCTCTTGTGGCTGAATGGAAGCAAGTCCCGGCAGAAATGTTCCAACATCAAGTGGAAAGCCTTCCCTGAATAGTGCTGTTATAGAAGCAAAGGGGGGACCAACTCCATATTAATGCCCATGATTTTGGAATGAGATGTTCAACGAGCAGGTGTCCACATACCTTTGGTCATGTAGTGTATGTTGTGCAGCATTGCACATTTGCCATACTGAATTTCTGTTAGAAGAGAAGGAGTCTAGTTATTAATCATTTTCAGTACTGTTTTATGGGAACAAAACAACACAAGTCAGAGTCGGAAAGTTTTACTGAGTTGAGTTTCATTTTAGATAGATATGTACTTTATTAATCCCTGAGGGGAAATTTCATAATTTCTCAGATTGCAGAGGGCATGGCGTACATTGAAAAGAAGAACTACATCCACCGTGACCTGAGAACAGCCAATGTCCTGGTGTCTGAGAGTTTGCTGTGTAAAATAGCTGACTTTGGCCTTGCTAGAGTTATAGAAGATGACCAGTACACAGCCAGAGAGGGTGAGCCTTCCGTCTGTGCATGCTAGAATTAGTCAGCACAGTATTAATACTGTACATTGGCCATACTGTTATACATATGTGTGATTCATGTGATAACGTTCATAACTGATTCATCATGCATCATGAGTTTTTCCCAAAAAGATTTATCTAGTGTCACATCTTTGGCTGACCAAGACAGTATAGAGAAATTCCCTGCTGCTCTCTAGAGTTATTACAGTAGCGTAATTGTATATATTTTGTAAGATCGTATCTGTAGAGACCAGTACAACTGGTCCCTTCCAGACATGATGTTGATGTTTATCTAAAGGACCTGGATCAGGCTTTGCATGCTGTGTTTGTTTTTTGTTATGCAAATGAGGAAGTAGAGGTACATTTCGGCAATGTAAACATGCTAGAAGCAAACCGGTTATCATTGCATATTGGTTTGTACAAGAATGCTTCTGTCAGCAGTCCAAACATGTTTTTCCCCCTTCAGTATTGATAGGCATATATCATTTTACCTTGGTTGGTTGGTTAGGCAGATAAGTGTCATAAACTATTCCGTCCTCTGAATATGTGAGTGTTTGCCCATGACAGGTGCAAAGTTTCCCATCAAGTGGACGGCACCAGAAGCCATCAACTATGGCTCCTTCACTATCAAATCAGACATGTGGTCCTTCGGAGTCCTCCTGTATGAAGTCATTACCTATGGAAAAATACCTTACCCAGGTAATTACATGCAACCTTATACACATAAACACACACAATGCTTTCATATTTAAGACTAGCTTCTCGAGACTGATTTCCCCACAACATCCTGCAAAATATTGAGCTTGAATGCACTCAATAATAGGTGTTCACATATATTTATCGCCATCTGCTGGTTAAGGACAGATATTGCATGAGCTCATTGAGGGGTTTTCTCCAGAAAAGGACCCTGTATTTGGTTTGATGGTATTTATTGTGATGCGTTAGCAAATACCGAATATCTGCTGGCTTTATTTGTATTTTTTCCTCTATTGCTCAACCATTTTCCCCACAGAAATAAGAATTGCTCACATTTGCTTTTTTCAATTTAGGTGGACCTGCTTTTCAGAGTTCCTGCTTCTTCTCATTTCTGCTTCTATCTGTTCCCTTTTTCCTTTTCAAGGAATGAGCAATGGTGAGGTAATGACTTCAGTGCAGAGAGGTTATAGAATGCCCCGCCCTGAGAACTGTCCCAACGAGCTCTACGACATCATGACCAGCTGTTGGAAGAGCAAGCCAGACGACAGGCCCACGTTTGACTACATCCAGAGTGTCCTAGATGACTTTTACACCGCCACAGAGGGCCAGTACCAACAGCAGCCCTAGGAAGTCAATTGTTGCGTCAATTTGTGCGTCCCAATAGGGCTCTGGACAAAAGTAATGCACTATGTAGGGAATAGGGTGTCATTTGGGACGAAACAATGTGCTAGTTTCATTATGAAATAGTCAACCCACCAGCAACAATATCGGTTATTCAGCAGAAGTAGAGATATTGTCGGACAAGTTGACTGCTTGTTTATTTGTTAGGCAAGCTAAAGATGAATCTATGAATTCAACTTCATATTGAAGTATAGACCTGCTTGTGCATTTCAGCATTTTCACGGAGAATGATCGAATAACAAATGGCTTACTGTTGACTGAATCTGATGCAACTCTATTGAAGAATTATCACATTGAACAGCACAAAATAGACATTCTACCACATATTTATTATCACTTTAGCCATATCTGTTTGCCATGTTGAATTCAATCATCAATTTATCCAGTACAGATGCTTACCTTTTCAGCTGTTACATTTCTATTTTTCTTTGCATTGTATTTCAAGCTACATTGATTTATTTTAGCAGATTATCTTTTCGGTTATATTCTGAATTACGGAAATAATGAGACTAACAATTTACTTCATGTATATTTGCTGTATTTTAGATTTTTGCAATTAGATATTAATGTGTGACATGACCATGTGTGTGTGATTGTATTAACCTGAATAAATGCAAATGATCTGTATCAATAAAAACACTTCTTAGCAGATTTGTCATATTTTGGGCCTATAATAAGTCATTTGAAAAGTGTCATCAGCACTAGAAAGTTACATTATATACTGTATCTATGCCAGAAATACTTTAAGAAATTAGTATTTCTTAAAAGTATCTTCGGACAAGACAAGTGGCGTTCCAGTTCCTCTTTTTGGTACTAGCGCATTTAAAATAATACACTTCTCCAAAGCAGATCATTTGAGTCAGTGAATTGACTTACAAAACATGAAAAATATCAATCAAAGGATGTTATAAAAAGAGTGCGCAACATACAAAGACTCGTGGATCACGAAGCAAAAAGCTGAAACACCAAAGTATAGTGGTCACGTGACTTTCTAAAGATGGCCGCGCCCTGTAGCCGAGGGGTGTGACAGAATTTGAGTTGTACAACATTCTGGATGACAGTTAAGAAGCAGGCAGCATTGTGCCACTGACATCTAGGACAAGTAAACATAATCTCTACACTTATTCAACCATTGTATCATCTACCCCATAATGGAAAAGGACGATCTATTACTGTACGTATATTCTGTATACCTGGCTACTCTAAAGCAAGCAATTGTTAGCCGACTAGCTAGCTTACCATGTAGCTTGTATAGAATAATATACCTTCTATTCGTAGCGTAACAATACACTGATCCATTAGCTATCTATCTATCACGACGACATTCAGGTGCACGCAGTGTTGTTTGTGTTCTTCTCATGCTTGATTGTAGCGAGCTAGTTCTTTTTTGAATTGTGTGCTAAGAAGCTAGCTAGCTAGTTAGCTACCCACCATTAACAGCTAACTGGTCCAGACAACTTTGCCTCAGTCACTAAAGGAACACAATGAAGACGTGCAACATGTCACACTGAAGTATTGTCAGGGTTTAGGCTTGGTGCGTAAAGCATTTGTGACAGTGTCACTATGAAGTTTCATGAGAAAGAGATCACCATAATTTCATTCAACCGTTTTTTCACTGTGTGCAGCTGATAACAGAGAGGGGGGACTTATCTTTTGCGATCACATGCTCCTACAGCACTCTATAGTGGGTGCCCAACACGATAGCTAGGATAAGGGGAGGAGTAGGCCTTGCCTCTGATAAGAATATGAACTCATTGTTAAAGTGGTGAAGAATATTACTAACTAAATGTGTCTGGACCTAGCTATTTACCTTGGTGTACTCTGTTTGAGTGAATGGGTGGGTTGGGAGGGGAAATACTTAATGTTCTGTTTACATTACTCTGACTAAGTCTCATTCCATCTTTGACATGATATTTCATTTTTAGCCCCAAAGACTTCCCTAAGTTGAAGAATGATGCATTCCTCCGTGCATGCCAAGGCCAGGAGACCCCTCATGTGCCTGTGTGGTGTATGAGACAGGCTGGACGCTACCTGCCAGGTGGGTCTCGCTACACCCTCCTATTCACTTCACTGACATAAGAGACTCACATTAACGAGCACTAGTCTAAATCAATTATCAGTAGGTTGTTATTGTTTGAATGGACCCATCCATCTTTTAATGAGTTGCTGGTATTGACATGTGGCCTGTCTGTTTGTAGAGTTCCGTGAGTTCAGAGCGGGGAAGGACTTCTTTGAAACGTGTCGGTCACCTGCAGCCTGCTGCGAACTAACTCTCCAGGTAGCTAAGCAGTACAGGTATAAAATGATCTACAAAACATCTTAGCCTCGATTGATAACATTCACCTCTTTTTTTGTCTTCTCATAGCCATTGAGACGTTTCCCATTTGATGCTGCCATCATATTCTCAGACATCCTGGTTATCCCACAGGTAAGAGTAGCCTTGTCTGACAAAGATTTTTGCCATTACTTTACACACTTCAATTACAAGTGTTGTGCTTCCTCCTCTCTACATACTAGACAAAGAGATGACCTTCTGAGGTACAGTAAGAAGGTAATCTCTTTGTGTAGTATGTGGAGAGGAGGAAGCACATAACTCAGATCCAGTATGAGGAATGGAACTGCCGAATGAATGTCTGGGTGTATGTGTGTTCCTGCTACCAGGCCATGGGTATGGATGTCCAGATGGTGGCAGGAAAGGGTCCTACGTTCCCAGAGCCCCTAAAGGAGCCAGAAGACCTGCTGCTCCTGCAGCCCAAGGTGGACGTCAACAAGGAGCTGGGCTACGTCTTCAAGGCCATCACACTGACACGCCACAAACTGGAGGGCAAGGTCCCTCTGATCGGCTTCACAGGTGCCCCGGTGAGATGGCTGGCATGCATGCACACATACACACACATACACAGAGAGAGAGAACACACACACACACACAGAGAACACACAGAGAGAGAGAGAACACTTTTCAATACAGAATCTATTGGTTGCTTCAATAGTCAGAAGAAAAAAATGTGTGTCGTGTCTTCGTGTTCTTAGACTAGAGGCTTCGGTAAAGTGACCCATATCATCATCTGTTTTCCCCTGTAGTGGACCCTAATGGCCTATATGATTGAGGGGGGAGGCTCAACAACCCACTCCAAGGCTAAGCGCTGGCTGTACCGCCACCCTGAGGCCAGCCACAAGCTGCTAAAGATGCTGACTGATGTCATCGTAGAGTACCTGCTGGGACAGGTGGCTGCTGGGGCACAGGTAAGCAAGGCATCATAGGAGATTGAGTTCCAGCTGTATCTTACTACAGCTTACCTTCAGGTACACTGCTAGCTCAGAGTTCTTTCACATGGGAAAACTATCAGGTGAATAGAGGGTAGATCATTTTATTTACAGCACTTAATTGGACAAGGAGAAAATGTTACACTTGCCAGACGGCCATTAATTATTTAATAGCACAATATCTATGAACTGATAGAATGTTGATTTATTCATGTAGGTCTCTTATATGGCCCCTATCATAGGCACATTATACAGAAGACATACACTGAGTGTACAAAACATTATGAAGACCTTCCTAATATTGAGTTGAACCCCCCCCCCCCCCCTTGCCCTCAGAACAGCCTCAGTTCATCAGGGCATGGACTCTACAAGGTGTCCAAAGCGTTCCACGGGGATGCTTGCCCATGTTGACTCCTTTGCTTCCCACGGTTGTGTCAAGTTTGTTGATTGTCCTTTGGGTGGTGGACCATTCTTGATACACACAGGAAGCTGTTGAGCGTGAATAACCCAGCAGCGTTGCAGTTCTTGACACACTCAAACCGGTGCGCCTGGCACATACTACCATACCTTGTTCAAAGGCAGTCAAATCTTTTGTCTTGCCCATTCACCCTCTGAATGGCACACATACACAATCCATGTCTCAGTTTAACCTGTCTCCTCCCCTTCATCTACACTGATTGAAGTGGATTTAACAGGTGACATCAAAAAGGGATCATAGCTTTCACCTGGATTCACCTGTGTCATGGAAAGAGCAGGTGTTCCATGTCTTGTACACTCAGTGTAGTCCTGTATAGCTACATCCCCCATCCCTGTGTTTCCCCAGGCTTTGCAGGTGTTTGAGTCCCATGCTGGCTGTCTGGGCCCAGTGGAGTTCCAGGAGTTCTCCCTGCCCTACCTCCGAGACATCGCCCGTAAGGTCAAAGACCAGCTGAAGGAGTCAGGCCAGAATGTCCCCATGGTGAGGCCACACAGACTGTCACTTCTTCATTCACACAACAACACAGACATCCTCTTTATGGATTTGATGTCACTAGATTTTCAAGACAAGCTTTTGTTTATCATCTCCTACAATGTGGTTATAAAAGGCTTATAGTTATTGCAGTGAGATGTTGGCCAGTGTAATGTGGTATTTCCACCAGTAGATGGCACTATAAGGTCAAATATTTTTCTCTACAGACATCATCTTGAATAGTCAGAAATACATTGGAGTTTTTTTTTAATGCCTTGAATCATTGAATAGCATGTCATAGGTCTCATAATCAGCAGTGTAGTGGAGGGTAAATGCAAGTAAACACAGTTTACCCAACTTTTTTTTGCCCAACAGTTTACCCACATTTTGCAGAAAAATGCATTGAAAGAATGTTACTTTTTTACCGTGACCAGAAGTATTTTTTTTACCACTACATCACTGCTCATAATTGAATATTTTACAATTGTTTTGTAATTCGTTTTTCACTGGAGTGTGTCTTTAAAGTTCCCTGGACCATTCTGTAACTCCCTCTGTGTCCTGTATGTTCTGTTCCAGATTGTGTTTGCCAAGGATGGCCACTATGGTCTGGAGGACCTCTCTCAGTCCCACTATGAGGTTGTTGGTTTGGATTGGACCATCGATCCATGCTCAGCACGGTAATGGACATGAACCCTTTTCACAGAAATCAATTGAATATGAATAATTCCCAGAGAGTCAGCTTCCTAGACAGTCAATGGCTGAGCCAACGTTTGCAAAAGACGTATTGTGTCATATGTTGACATTTAATTGGATTCACTCTCTTATAAAAGTTCATCCCGTCAACAGTAAAAACAGGTGATGCCTGGCTCTGTCCACTGTTGATTGATCTCCTGGTGAATGAACTCTTCCTAACGAGCCTGTTGTCTCTGTGATTTCAGGGAGCGGACGGGAGGAAAGGTTAGTCTCCAAGGGAACATGGACCCCTGTGCACTCTATGCCCCCAAGGTAAGCACTGGGTTTTTTTCTGGCTCAAAATAGGGCTTAGGTGGTGGGCGTGGCCAGTGGTGCGGTCACCAACCGAACATTTAAGGGCTCTCCTCTTTGCCGCAGAGACAAACTTTTTGCTGTTTTAAAGCTAATTCCCTGCAATTTTACACATTTTGCCATGGGGCGAAGAGAACATTTTATAGTTTAAAAGCTCATTTCCTGCAATTATACACATTTTGCCTTGGCTAATGCTGTGTTCTTATGCTATTTGAGGGACTCAAACATTATAACATAATCAATGCCATTACAAAAATACTCCTGAATGCATACTTTTTTGAATTTTTGATTCTCCCTGACTGTTTAAATTTTTTATTTTGGTGATTGTTAGTTCTCAAAGATGATCTTATTTTAAAAATATATAGCTCCATTATCTTTTCTACATACTTTACAGTGGGGAAAAAAAGTATTTAGTCAGCCACCAATTGTGCATGTTCTCCCACTTAAAATGATGAGAGAGGCCTGTAATTTTCATCATAGGTACACGTCAACTATGACAGACAAATTGAGATTTTTTTTCTCCAGAAAATCACATTGTAGGATTTTTTATGAATTTATTTGCAAATTATGGTGGAAAATAAGTATTTGGTCACCTACAAACAAGCAAGATTTCTGGCTCTCACAGACCTGTAACTTCTTCTTTAAGAGGCTCCTCTGTCCTCCACTCGTTACCTGTATTAATGGCACCTGTTTGAACTTGTTATCAGTATAAAAGACACCTGTCCACAACCTCAAACAGTCTCACTCCAAACTCCACTATGGCCAAGACCAAAGTGCTGTCAAAGGACACCAGAAACAAAATTGTAGACCTGCACCAGGCTGGGAAGACTGAATCTGCAATAGGTAAGCAGCTTGGTTTGAAGAAATCAACTGTGGGAGCAATTATTAGGAAATGGAAGACATACAAGACCACTGATAATCTCCCTCGATCTGGGGCTCCACGCAAGATCTCACCCCGTGGGGTCAAAATGATCACAAGAACGGTGAGCAAAAAACCCAGAACCACACGGGGGGACCTAGTGAATGACCTGCAGAGAGCTGGGACCAAAGTAACAAAGCCTACCATCAGTAACACACTACGCCGCCAGGGACTCAAATCCTGCAGTGCCAGACGTGTCCCCCTACTTAAGCCAGTACATGTCCAGGCCCGAGTGCATTTGGATGATCCAGAAGAGGATTGGGAGAATGTAATATGGTCAGATGAAACCAAAATAGAACTTTTTGGTAAAAACTCAACTCGTTGTGCTTGGAGGACAAAGAATGCTGAGTTGCATCCAAAGAACACCATACCTACTGTGAAGCATGGGGGTGGAAACATCATGCTTTGGGGCTGTTTTTCTGCAAAGGGACCAGGATGACTGATCCGTGTAAAGGAAAGAATGAATGGGGCCATGTATCGTGAGATTTTGAGTGAAAACCTCCTTCCATCAGCAAGGGCATTGAAGATGAAACGTGGCTGGGTCTTTCAGCATGACAATGATCCCAAACACACCGCCCGGGCAATGAAGGAGTGGCTTCGTAAGAAGCATTTCAAGGTCCTGGAGTGGCCTAGCCAGTCTCCAGATCTCAACCCCATAGAAAATCTTTGGAGGGAGTTGAAAGTCCGTGTTGCCCAGCGACAGCCCCAAAACATTACTGCTCTAGAGGAGATCTGCATGGAGGAATGGGCCAAAATACCAGCAACAGTGTGTGAAAACCTTGTGAAGACTTACAGAAAATGTTTGACCTGTGTCATTGCCAACAAAGGGTATATAACAAAGTATTGAGAGACTTTTGTTATTGGCCAAATACTTATTTTCCACCATAATTTGCAAATAAATTCATTAAAAATCCTACAATGTGATTTTCTGGATTTTCTTTTCTCATTTTGTCTGTCATAGTTGACGTGTACCTATGATGAAAATTACAGGCCTCTCTCATCTTTTTAAGTGGGAGAACTTGCACAATTGGTGGCTGACTAAATACTTTTTTCCCCCACTGTATATCTGGTTTTAGTCGTTTAAGTTTACACTGAAAACGTTTTACCATCCCGAACAATTTGTTATATAAAAAAATAAATCTATAATATTGACAAAGAGAAAACACATGGCACAGAGAGATGTTTGCGTACAAAGGTACTGTACTGTACAGTACAAGCACATGAACCAGCAACCATTGTGTTCTTGAGCCAGGCACTTGCTAACCCCAAAACGTACTTATACGGCACACTTTCAAAAGTGATACTCATTTATCTCTGTCTCTGCCTGTGCAGGAGCGTATATCAGAGATAGTGAAGAAGATGCTGGAAGGCTTTGGCACCAGAGGGTACATAGCTAACCTGGGCCACGGACTGTACCCTGACATGGATCCAGAGAATGTGGGTGCCTTCGTAGAAGCTGTCCACACTCACTCTCGCCACCTCAACCACAAGTAACACCCCCGTCACCTGGCAACATTGACCACAGTCATCATACTAGCAGAGAGCAGCACCCGAAGAAACAAGCAACATTGCATTGGATTATAGAGACGATGTATTATGTATTCACAGAAATCTAATGTACCAACAGGTCTTATCAAGTATGTTATCCCAGGACAAATCCAGACTTATATGATTTTTTTCTTCTGGAAATAATATTTTGGTTATATTCTATAGATAATCCTTGGACAAAAGAAAAACATTAAAGTAGTGCACGACCCTGTAATATTTCTTATGTGTACCCCTGATCTGTTTTTCATCAGGTAGTTAATCTTACAACAACATGAAGTGTATGAAGGGTTTAATGTGATTATTGGTCTCATGGCAAACACAGTTGTTTGACTGTGACAAATTTACTATTTTTTATTTGTATTTTTTTATTTAACCTTTTATTTAACCAGGTAAGCCAGTTGAGAACAAGTTCTCATTTACAACTGTGACCTGGCCAAGATAAAGCAAAGCAGTGTGATAAAAACAACAACAACATGAGTTACATATGGGATAAACAAAAATGTACAGTCAATAACACAATAGAAAAATAGAAAATCTATATACAGTGTGTGCAAATGTAGTACTGAAGCCTAAGCACTAGTGTATTTTTCACTCTTTGTTTTAATTCAGTCAAATTTAAGAATTATTGTATTTGAATTGGACCTGTATTTGAAATGACACCCTAGCATGGATTTATATTGGTTGTGTTTGCCTTGGTAAAGCCTTCATCCAGAACTTGGTTTAGCTTGTTGTGCTCTATAGATATTGACCTCTGCAGTTCACCCAAGGGAAGCTCCCAATTTGAGACGAATTAGCAATCCTCTGTCCACACATCTACCACTATACCACTGGTGCTTGAGATTATCAGGGGAAACTCTTAAATTACAAATGAGATGTAGTGAAGGACTGGGAGTCGGGGTTGGGTATGGTAGGCATACTGTACATGTTTTTGTTCAAACAAGTTAAGTACCAGAACAAATCTATCCAGACTTCATTTGTTTCCATGTTGAACATACATATTTTAGAAATGGGGGGGAAAAAAGGCTTAATTTTATTACTGCTTTAAAGGAAATTATTTACACGAGGAATAAAAACAAGTAGATTGGTACAAATCCAGTTGTTTTTGTTGTTGGAATGGTGGGAATAGGATTCCACAAAAATGCATCACATTTTGATTAGTTGTCCTTTACAGATGCTTCTTGATTTGCTGTGTGAAACATTGGTAGAGGAAGGAGGAAGTAGCTCTGCCTAGGAGTCTCCTGATTGGCTGGAAGTCTGACACTCAAGCAGCAGCTGCCGCAGCCGCGGCGCTCCTTTTCATCTGGACCCAAACGGCAAATTGTTGTGACAATGCAGGATTAGCCCGACCTTGACTGTGTTGTGAGGTGCTGTTGCCTGTAGCCGCTGTGAAAATAAAGAAAAATTAAATATAAAAAACAATGAATTTGCTTTAGGTTTCTAAAGATGCTGTCATTTTACACTTCGCTGTTTAAGGACAAAGTAGAGCAAGGCTATGTTTTCTTGTTTCTCCCCGTGTGTGTGCGTGACTGCGTTACATCATGAGCTTTTCAGGCATTATTTTTAAATGCAACAATGAATCTGGTGCTTAAAAAACCCCAAGGCCTCCTTACAAAGAGGACCAGGGGAATGGATTGTGGGGGTCTCAGGCTCAATCTCTCAGCAAATCAGCAGGCCTGAAAATCCAATCTGCTCCTGGAGACAGCAGGCTGTACATCATTTGTCAGGGACTGGCACTATCAGCGCTTTATCAGATGGGCGGGTATGGGCTGCCATTGACTGTGATTGATTTGAAATATTAACATAGGGCAATGGAGAAACTCAAATCAGACTGCTGACTGCAGAGTGAAGAGGCGCTGGCTGGCTCCAATGTTTCATACTGTAGGCACTGTGGAAAAAGTGAAGACAATATTTTGTGAGAATGTGATAGTGCCACTGTCTCTGAACTGCCTTTGTGTGGATTCCATCTTGTGACCTGTGCTTTTGAAAAGCCACTGACATGTACAGGTCATTGTGTTAAGGTCACTGTCCCTTGTAAACCTTAACCTATGTAATAGATTCACACTGTATGAGTTGTGCCATTACACAAAGTGGGTGTTGGAAAAAAATATGCTTGTCAGTCCCCAACCAGGTCAGAGTGTAGATGTGCTGTTTGTTCCAGTCACCTTATCACTAGTTAACATGGAGTGAAATGATAGTGGAGCTGGATGACACAGATACTATCAGAGGGAGCTTAACTCCCTGTGGTCCAGCCTTGACTCATCCATCACCATCATCTCTATTGTTCCACAGCTGAGCCCAGTCATTTATCTCCCCAGTCCCCACACCCTAGCATTTCTCATTAAAGGATTCAATCCAATCCAATCCAAAACGATCCAAATAAATAATTTGGAATGGATGAAATCATAGGGCCACTGCAGTTACTCCCTTTTCGTTAGCTCTCCCCCAAGCTCCCTTCCTCCTTTCCTCCCTCATCCCTCCTTCATGCCACCCTCCCTGCCCAGCCCCTCACACCCCAATTACTGAGGGATGCTAGGATGTCAGAGCGGCAGGACAAAGCTCTCCAAATCAGCTCTCCGAAGAACGAGATGTTTGATAACGCTGACAGCACAACCCACCATCTAAGGTGCAGAGAGAGAGAGATAACCTTTTAACAGACTCAACTGCCAACCAGCAGTTCGTACACAGACACAGTCAGAGTGCTATCGGAGCATGGGTTTGTGTCAATTTGGAGGTAGACTTGACCACCGGAGGAATTTCCTCCACCTGTTGGTCCTTGCTGGGGTTCGACCGACCAATTGACTACTAATGAACATAGAGCTCAGCCTCAGCCGTAGAGTTGGAACGAAGCACCTGCCTTCAGGGCCACATAAGCAATCTGGTGCTCTGTCTGTGCAGCCCAGCGTTCGTCTCACCTCGATGCCTGTTCTCTCCACTCTCTCCCCCAGCTGACAGCCTCAGCAGCCAACACAGGAAACACACAGCAAGGTGGGGGAGCCAATTAATCGTCTGTTTCTTCCCTATATGTCACTTCAGCTAAATCACCCCCCTCTACAGGAGCACAAACACTCCCCAGTGGAGCCGAGGGGGGGCCCAGGTCCATCCGCCATCCATATTTCAGCAGGCGAACGGTCTGTGCTCCCTATCCAAAACACAATGACAGAGCCCATCTGTGAAGCACTCCCCAATGGATAGAGCAGGGGAGATGCCGTGTAGTTTGTACAAGCAGGTCCGAAGAGTATTGGGCTTGTTGACGGCATCACCACCCAGCGCTACCAATCACTCTGACATTTGGTCTTCATGGTGTTTACAGTTGTAACAGATTGGCTCTTACAGCAGCAGCAAAAAAACACCCCCGCCTTTTCCCCAGGTTAAAATTAGAGCTATACTACCTTTCAGTCAACATGCACGTGCAGCACGTTCAATATCAAGCTGGATCAACCTACGTATATACCGGTTTTTGGTCACCACTGAATCCCAAAAGCGATTCACAGAATTCACTGTCAGTCCAATTCCATTTGTGTAGGAAGGTGAGGTAACAGAACAAATTGAGGTGGTGTTGGGGTGTTATATTAAGAATAGAATGGGAATCAGACAGTGGTGAGCTGTCTGCTACCGCTGCAATAATTAATAAGCTCATTTAGAGAGGCAATCAATCTGGGCCCGAGACGTGCTGCCTGCCTCTCACACACACTTAGGATTCTTTATGGCCTGATTCACAGGTTTAGCTCCATGAATGCCCTAATGAATGACAATTGCAATGAGATAGATGAGATATAGAGTCTTATTAGAGGAGAAATCAGAACTACACGAACAGTGATAGAGTTGCACCTAAAGAGAGAGAAGCCAGTTTTTAGAAAGTAACAGGAGTCAATATATGTGTTTCACACTTTATTCATAGAAAAGCACTGAGATTCCAACACAAATTATATAAAATGGTAGTAGCGTTACATAAATAGTAATAAATTGTTGTTTTATAGACATTAGCTCAAGAGGTTGCACAAACAAACAGTTGATAAACTATACTTCTGTGGCAACAAATACTGGTTAACTTTTTTTTTTTATAAATCAGTAGCACAAAGAGGCAACAAACACTTTCCCTTAAATAAAAAAATAATCAAACAGTAGATGAACTAGTGAACAATCTACCAGCGATTATTATTACTTCCTTCTAAATACTAACGACAGGTCAAAACAATGGTACAGTTAACACATTGACACGGAGTATGGGAGAGAGAGAAATTAAAAGCCAGAGGAGTTTCCCCCCACTTTTTTTGAAATGCCGTAGAACCAACTACTTCAGCGACAGAAAATGCTTGTTTGACGTGTGTATATAACAGGCAGGTTTACATTAAACTGCAATCTTGTTTTGTCCACTCGTAACTCACAAATCTCAGATTCAAGTAGTGGTTAATATTTGTGGTAGCTAGTGAATGACAAAACAGAGGAGGCAGCCGTAGGTTGGTTGGGAAAGCAGGTGTTATGTTGTGGCGCATATGACACTGGCAAACGCAGTGCTGCAGTCTTACTGAATCCTGTGACTAACGATTGGGAGGAAGTAAATGCAATATTTTAAAAGACAGAAGGAATAAAGACCAGCGATGGAAGGAAGGATCAGAATAACAACTGCTCCATAGGGGTTTTAGAGAACAGTTAGGAGCATGGCCATGGTCGTTCAGGTGAAGAGAACTGAATAGGCTTAAAAGCATGAAGAAATACAAGGGAGGATGGTAGGAGGACAACACAGACTCCCCCATTCATATTCTCTGCCAGTTCCTTATTTAGCGTGGGGCATGCAGGGTTTTTATTTTCATTTCTTTTGGACCATTGTTCTCCTTAAACTCTCATTACCATGTCAGGCTCTGACAGAGGTACTTTGAGAAGACACTAAAGGCTTAAGTCCAAAGAGAGTAATTGTACATTAAAAATCGGTCAAAGGCAAAGTCTGTCCCAATTTGCAGCATGTGCAGGCTACTTACAAATACAAACATGCTGTGTCTTGCCTCGTCTGTTCTCTTTAGGATATTGGCTAGCCCCCCTCAGACATTCGTCTGGGTGACTCCAGAGAAGGGGACCAAACCACCAAGTGGTTTCTGCATAGTCGGGTTGCTTTCTGTTCATAATGGTATGCCTGCTTTCTAATTTCGAAATAAATTGCTTCCTCTTAGAAAACTTTGCAAAAACAAAACAAAACATACAAATAAAAAATTAACTCAAAACTCAGATAATGTACACAGGAGCACCTGAGAAATGTCTTGAAGTATTTTCCTCTAACTGCCCTCACATTCCCAGCCCACAACAAATTCAAGTATCCCACAAAAACATACAGTTATCATAAATAATTATAACTTTACAATTTTCTTAATTGACACTTTCATATTTACAATATCTTAAATGCTTATGCTACTACTTTTTTGTTTTTGTTTCTTGAAGTGATTCCCTGAGAACTGAGTTTAGCATCTCTTTTCTCTTTCGTCATTTTTTCTTTACTGTATTACTTCAAAACATACAGACAGTGTACATCTGTGGCCATAGGCCACCTGGAATGTGGAAGCTGACATGGAACGGTTTTCATAGCCTCAATTTGTCCTCAAACGTTCTTCTGTCTAATATTACTATTTTTTGTGTGTTAAATATAATTATGCTGTCTGTATTCCTAGTATTCATTCACACACAGATTATTCTAATGGTCGATAAATAATTGCTCAAGCAGACTGAATGATGTTGAGTACATAAAATGTGTGAAGTGCTTGTATAACAATAGTACTACTGCTAATATAAAACTTTCCCACAGGGTCTGAGAGGTCGATAGATAGTTACAGTTAGGCTTGTATGTGGAATACTAACCCCACCGGCTACACCAAGGCATGTTGTCTAAAAGTACACGTTCATACACGTTTTGCTTTGAAAGATACAAGATGTTTTTCAGCAATGGTATTTCAACATGTTATAAAACCCAAATCCTGACAACACAAGCCACTCCTCACAGTCCAAAACCCACAGTGGCAGTATCACTCTCAGGCCAGTCAATCCATCTCTCCGTGATCTAATCCAAATATCAATCTGACGCAACATGTCTCGCTCTCTGTACATTTGTCTCTTTTTGAAAGGTACCTTCACTAGAAATAATACAAGATACCAGACAAATCGATCAGGCTACACTCAAGAAAGGAGGAGGAGAATATATGTGTGAGAGGCTTGGTCAAGTCAGAGGACTCTGTATGTACCTGATGAGTCTGGTGAATGTATTATTAGGTTCTGGACCTGTGGGACACACATCCAAGTTCAGCATTTCACCTCCTCCATACATGATGCCTTGAAACGAGTCCTTTTAACAGGAAAAGTTTAAAGCTGACCCTTGGAATACGATCGAGGTATGACAGTTATTTAACACTATGTGCGTCAGTGTTTTTGGAATGACAAGTTTTCTTTCCTTCAAAAACCCATAGTATCTCACCGCAGCAGACATCATTCCCTGGCTCAAAATACCCTATACATCATTTGGTTTTCATTATGTGCCACCTCAATGCTTTTTCATCATCATCAATCTTTTTCAACCGATTTTGTATTCAGATTTCCCCTCTCCGCAGTCTTTACCTAGCAGAGTAACATTGCAAACAAACATTGGTTGTCGCTCACAAGAAAAAAACCGGACAAAAAAAACCGGACAAACACAGAATTTGCCACGTAAATGACAAAAAATATGGAAATGAATGAAAACGTGAATAAATGATTAAGTAGAAATAAAAGTAGTTCCCTATATTGCCTGTCCTGTTGGGGGACCCCCGGGGGTCAGCCGAAGCGTTCCCGTACCAACATCATGAGTTTCTTCTTGCCCTTGTAGATCTGTTTGAGGTTGTCTATAAACTGGGCAAACTGGATGTGTCCGTCCTGGGCCAGTAAGAAGGTCTCTCTGGCCTTACTAAGGAACTCTATGAACTCTCCGTAGTGTCTGGGGCTGATGTGTGTGAGCCGGGAGTGGGTAGTGTTGATGTAGGCGCTGATGGTGGCGTCCAGCAGCTGCCGGAGTGGAGCCTTGTCCGTGGACATGAGCTTCCCAGAGTTCCGTCGCCCGGGGATACCGGCTAGGCCTGGGGCCGTCATGGTGCAGCGGCGCAGGATGTCCGAGAGCACGGTGGCGCAGTGCACGCTCTTCACCACCAGGGGGATGATGGCAGCCAGCTCGTTCTTGCCCAGCGAGTGGGACAGGGCGCAGGCCCAGAGCACGTCGTTAATGGCCGGGTGTGTGTCCTGGTTGTAGGCCAGGTTGAGGTGGGTCATGGCCAGCGAGGCCAGCTTGAAGGCTCGGAGCGGGTAGCCACGGTGCTCCATGTAGCGGGCGATGGTGAACAGCTGAGAGTAGGTCATGCCTGTTGATGCTGCATCAATGACGATCTGGTAGGCTGTCTCGAAGGCGATGTGGTCCTTCTCGCAGAGCGTGAGGGCGGATAGGGCACAGTTCTGGGGGTCCTTCATGGCACACTGCAGGGCCAGGGTCCGGGCGCAGCTAGCCAGCTCCTCTCTCTGGGGATAGTCCAGGCTGAGGCGCAGGATGGTGTTGTGGGACATGACGGTGGCTGCTACGATGCTGGTGGCCTCGGTGGGGGTGAACAGGGTGTACCAGCTCTGGAGGATGCTCACCAGCGCTCGCAGACCCACCTCTGTGGCACAGGTGACCAGCCAGCGCACCATCTCCCTGCGTCTCCAATTCAGAGTGGACAGAGTCATCCTCATCACCTGCGGAGAGAGAGACATGTTGAAACATGTTAGGCAAGGCAGAATGCACAGCATTTCAACACCCACCTACCAGCCCATTTCATCAAACACATCCCCTCACACCCAATACATCGTCACAGTGCTTACTATCCACCTATCCCTCAGTACCTGCAGGCCCAGCTCCAGAGCTACATTGAGCAGGGTGATGTCTGGGGGGTTGTCAGCCGGAGTGGCTATCTTGAAAGCATCCTGGGCCAGTTTGAAGATGAGGGAGGAGGAGTGGATGTTTTTCTGGATGGCCTCCAGCACCGTCCGCAATCTCAGCATGTCTCCTGGAGGTACAAACAATACAGCATTAGATTGAAAAACAACATTTGTCATCCAACAGTTTATATGTGTACTGTTGTGTTCTGTAGTGGTGGACAAGGCCTAGGAGTGTTATCTGATAGTGTTTTGACAGATGGGCTGTGTGTGCATTGTTGTAAGTAGAGCTCAGCTGACCTTTGGCTGCGGTGAGCATGGTGGAGGCCAGCTCACACTGCTGAGACTCCAGGTGGCCCAGGGTAAACCAGCGCGGGTAGCGGCTGGGCACGATGCTGATGCCATGGTGGGGGTGACCCAAGTCTCCCGAGGGCCCAGTCGACTCTAACACAGGGAGCCTAGAGGACACACAGACAGAGAGACAGAGAGAGTGATGAGATTAGTTATTATGATAAGATAAAGTTTCCCATTCAAAATGAAACTGAAAAAGGTTTCCAAGCCTAATACAGCCTATGCATTCCTTATAGCATTATTACACTGGCTCATCCAATTTTAAGTCTGTATAGCTGCATTAGAGTTCTCTGCCCACCCCTGTCTACATATGCACGCATGTGTGTGTGTGCGTGTGTGTACATCCGAGCTTGCACGTGTGTGTGTGCAGTCCTAAGCCCTGTTATCGATTGTGTATTAGCCAGGTCCCTGAGGAGTCTCCGTAGGATAATCACGCTGCAGGACAGACGGGATTATGCAGTCATAGGGATTCATCATTCAGCCTCTCAATATATAGATACAAGTAGAGGGATGGAGCCTCTCCTCTGACCAGGCCCCCAGTGTCCGGTCTGGAGTGTGAAGTCATGAGCTCGGCTGGTCGGCTAATGCGTAGCAACCTTGCAGTGCCAAAAGCCCTGGTCTGCCCTAGAAAGCCTGTGTAAATTTTGACGGCAGTTTTGTGCTCTAAAATATATTATTATCAAGTTTGATCGCCACGGTGAATTCGCTACAAATCAAGATATTTAATTAAATAGTGATCCATTCTGACTACTACATTTGTCGTCACACAGGACCACGTGCTGACACAGACCAATCACGGGCCGACAGGCTACGAGGAGGCTCCCGGTTGACTCCGGCAGGATGAAAACGACTACATCGACCATGATCCTTTGCTAATTACGGTCCCTTTCACCTGATCCTTAGCAATTGTTGGTACCATTTAGCCCCATTCAGTAATATGGCACGCTTCAAATTCAAATAATTCCGGCTTCATGCGCCATCGGGATTTTTCCATAGGAATATGTGGATGACGTCAGCGCTATCACTATTTACTGATTTGAATGTCTATGACTGACACAGTGATGCAGCCAGATAGAAGCATCACATTATGTTGACAGAAAAACATGATATGATTCTAAGTGTTAATAGTAAATTGTAAAATGGTGTTTTCTTTTTGGAATAGATGCTAAATGGTTTTGAATGCCAGAGACACATACAGGTGCTTGAAACTGTGAATAGGGTTGGATATTAATGTAGGTTGGGGGATCTTACCTCATGGCCCGCAGTGCTAGTTTGTAGGCCAGGTCTGCGTCATGGGGCAGCAGGGCTGAGAACAGGTACTTGGCAAAGGTGTGCATGGGAACGCTTTCCCTGTGGATGACTTCACCAAGGCCGCTGAACGGGCCTCCTGAACACACACAGACAGAGAGTTGTCACTGTTTGTTGTCACAAAGTATATCAGAATTGTCACTGTCATTCATATCTTGGAGTCCAGCCACACACACATACACAGGAACCGTCCATTTCTGATTTGGCTCTGTTTTTGGTGAATAGTCAAAGTATACCAGTATAAAAAGGCAATGGCTCAAAGTAGAGCAGTGAATAAAAACAATATTATGTTATACCTCTCCCAACCCGATTGGGGCGACAGAGAGCAGACAGGAAACCATAGACTCACTGCCCATTGGGTATTAACCACATCTCTCCTCCCTAGCAGCGACAGATGTCTGCTCTAGGATTACACAGCTAACATTCCCCCTTATCCCCAGATGGGGGAGGGCTATAGCATAGCTAGCATGGGGACGCAGAAGGAAGGGGGTTAGACATAGTGTTAAAAGGCCAGAGTTGAGATCCATTTTCAGCTGGGTGTTGCGAGGCAGGATCATTGGAGGGCAGCCAGGTGGGAGAGAGGGATGGGATGGGACAGCTAAAGAGATAGGGTGACAGGAAAAGAGATGGAGGCAGGGAGAAACAGAGTGAGGCCGCAAGCAGGGCAGATCGAGAGAGGGATATGGAGGGTGAAAGAATAGAATGGGACATCAAGGGAGGATAACTGAGACAAAGAGTGAGGGAGATTGAAGGCAACAGAGAAGAGATAGACGATGAAAGGAGACAAGCAGAGGACAATAATAAAACTATACCTTCCAGTAGGAGGATAGCCTGTTTCCTCAGCGTCTGGACCAGAAGATCATCCAGCTCCATCTCCTGCAGCTTGGCCACGATCTGCTCCTCATTACGACACACCTTGTCCTGGGCGTAGAGGCCCTCCGGCATCACCCTCTGCTGCCCCATGCCCATCAGCGCCACCTCCAGGGCCAGCGCCAGGTAGGACTCCCCGCCATCCGGGCAACCCCACACGGGCACATGGTGGTACACTGGCGGCTTGGGCTCTCCAGAGTCTGAAGAAGAGACAAAGAGAGGTTTTTAGTTTACATGGATGGTCATGGAAGTGAGACTTCATACTTTACTAAACCTTCATTCAAACTGTTTGGTCAATTAGAACCAATTCTCATTTGCAATGATTATGAAACATTGCTAGATGCTAACACTAATCCAAAATGGCTGCCAAGTTTTGAAAGAAAATCCCTGAAAGGTGCTGGGTGTGGAAGCAGCTGCCACAGACAGGAGCCTCTCGCTAGCTCCACATCTCCCACCCAGGCAGCTGTGGATGCCAGGCAGCACCAGAGAGAGAGGTGTCCCTGAGGTCCAAGAAAAACACTAACATCTGCTGACAGGGACTCAGATCCAACCCACGGGCGGCTTACGCTTAAACCCCCCTGGCAAATTATCCCTTCCTCCCTACGACAATCCTGTTTTTTACGGGGGGAGGGGAGGGGGGGGGGATTTTCTCTTCATGCCGCTGGATCAAAACAACCTCTATTCTCCAATGTAGCGTCCAGGAGCTGTCTTTTCAATAACACGCCGCTTTGTTGTCATACCTCTAGAAATATTTGACCTCTCGTACATTTGACCTCTCTGACCCATTTACACTGTCTATGTACTGTACCCATCGAATATACTGTATGTATCTACTTCAGAAATATACAATATACAAACATGTTTTAGGCAACACTGGATAGATGCTATAGAATTTCTTTGTCTGTAGGTGTTGCTAACTACATGTGAAGGGGGTTTAATATGAGTGGACGTAAGCCTCGGGCTTCTAGGTTTTTTGGCATTTGTTGTGTGAGATCAGTGCCAAGGTGGATTTAACCATGTGGAATCCTGGGCGGCCCGGGTTAGTTCTCATACTGCAACCACAGTAGTTAGCCTCCATGTTTCCCTCCCTCCACTGTTATGGCTCTGGCTCTGCTAGCCAGCTGCTGCTGTTGGGTCTGATGTGTAAAGACTGTGGACAGCTGCTTCCTGATTGGTCAGAATTTCAAGTTAAGTCCTGCCCCCATACCAGATGTTTACAGCTACTCACCAGAACCAAACAAAGGACTGTGATGATGATGGCCCTATAAGTCATAAGCCACACACTCCATCGCTCCCTCTCTTGGTCTCTCTAACACACACACACCCTCTCTCTCTCTCTCTCTCTCTCCTTTGCTCACGCCCAAATCACCATACCACTTGCCAGTATTGTTCCAGCACACAATGCCTCCCTGTAGGTTTGTCACAATAGGCTGTACCAAATCCCTGCTCTCCGTTTGGCTGGGCTAAAGAATGTATCGATGCAAATGTTGATTGATTTTCCACCACTGTGTGGGCTGGGACAGGATGACCTTTCTGTGGCACAGCCATTCATCTCAGGGCTGTTTACAAGAGGACCCTGAGGGGGTGGAGGGGTTGGATAGACGAGGACTGGATTGAATGGGTGAGTTTACCATCTGATGGTCTTGATTAGTTTTGGGACAACATGAGATAGTTGACTGATACATATATATATAGTCTGGTTTAAGTAGAGTGAAATGGTTGCTGGTTGCCTTTGCCTGGGCCAAATTGTATGGGACTGTACTGTATGGGTGATCAGTTATGGTTGCTGGACTGACCCCATTTGCCTGGGCCTGTCCAGATGCGTACCTCCAGTGTCCATAGCGTTGTCATCCTCCACCCGGCAGGTCTCAGTGAGGGTGCAGAACAGACAGCCGATGGGATCCAGGGGGTGTCCTACCCAGCCCTCCAGGTTAGTAGTGCTGGTCACCCCCCTCTGGAGCAGCTCTGGCACACACAGGAACACCAGATCAGACACCGTCATACATACATCTTATCACATGAACAAACTTAGAAGAGTATTCAGGTTATGTAGGGATAGGATATTTTCCTGACCATATAAAAACGCAGGGCCCCAATTATAGGCTACACAACAAGGTTACAACAAGATCAGACACCAACATACCGTACATCGTATTATAAAATCAAATGCATTCATTCTGTTATGTAGGGCCCAGAGGCTCTACTAATGAGAACAGTGAACTGTCTCCAGGCAGACAGGGGGCGCTACCTTTCTTTTGGTGCTTATAGATGTCCAGCTGGCGGTGCTGCTGCAGCCGGAGGGTGTTGATGATGGCCACGCCTAACCGCAGCGCCTCGCGGGGGTAACCATGGGAACGCAGGGCATCGACCCGCGCACACGCCGTGGGGACGTGATCTATGGCACAAATCACATGACACGGGCTCAGCACAAAGCAACACAACGTCCAGGCAGGCTGGCAGGCAGGATGCAGACTCAGCAGAAAGAAACCCACTACTCTGATACCCAGGCTTAAGTTGTAGAATGTGGACAAATCTTCCCCCAGAACCTGCTTACTCCAGCTCCAGGATTCAGTGGAACTGGAATTAAAGGAGGCTTATAACACTAAACATTGGTGGTGTTTAGAGAGGAAAATTCCAGCCCCAAACCCAAGCACTGGGACTGGACAAACTGACCACTATCATGGCAGAGCTTAAACTGCCAGGAGCTGGGCCAGTGTGTGTGTGTATGTGCGTGTGTCTGTGTATATGGTTTAAATACATATACTGAGGTGGCCTTCCGATACCACCTTGAATTTATATAACATTTAACATCTAGCGCTAAGAGTGTGTACTGTGCAGACCAGATAAAATCTGGTTGTGTAATTCTCACCTAGCCATAGAGGCAGGCCCTGGGGGTTGAAGAGCAGACTCTCTCCTTCTCTCTGGTAGGCTGGGGACATGTAGTATTCACAGCTGATGATCCTCTGCAGGTGGCTGTCCTGCCAGTGGAGATTACAGGCCTCCATGGCCCGCTTGAACACTGTCCGTCTGGGCCGGGCCAGGGAGTCTGGAAGGGGGGAACACAGGGAGGGAGACAGTTAGAAAAATACTGTCATCTAATTATGTTTATTACAGTCATATTTTGAGTACAGCACAAGCAGGTTGACTACTTTTACTAGAGACAACCAAATCTGAAGACAACAAAAACAGTGCATCAGAACCATGGTTTGGGATAGGTAAGGGATGTAGCTGTAACTCAAGTGGAAGTGTACAGGCCCAGTGTGTGTATGTGTGTGAGTACCCTATGTGTAGGTATACCAGTGTGTGTATGAGTACCCTATGTGTAGGTATGCCAGTGTGTGAGTACCCTATGTGTAGGTATACCAGTGTGTGTATGTGTGTGAGTACCCTATGTGTAGGTATGCCAGTGTGTGAGTACCCTATGTGTAGGTATACCAGTGTGTGTATGTGTGTGAGTACCCTATGTGTAGGTATACCAGTGTGTGAGTACCCTATGTGAGGTATACCAGTGTGTGAGTCTGGTAGGTAACCTTTATGTGTAGGTATACCAGTGTGTGTATGTGGGTGACCCTAGTCGTGTGTATGTGTGTGAGTACTATGTGTGGTATACCGTGTTTATGTGTAGTACCTAGTGAGATAGGGTGAACCTATGTGTAGGTATACCCGTCGTGTATGTGTGTGAGTACCTTATGTGTAGGTATACCAGTGTGTGTATGTGTGTGAGTACCCTATGTGTAGGTATACCAGTGTGTTATAGCTACAGACTGTGACTGACCCTGGGCGAGGTTGCTCTGTGGTAGAGCGTTGGTAATGTTGGGCAACTCACTGCCGTAGTTGCCGTCCTCCAGGGGACAGATGTCCATGTCGCCCCACTTCTTCAGCTGCTTCAGCCAGCCGCTCTTCTCCTCGCTCTTACAGTGCGGGTTCAGCACGATGCACACCCACAGGGCACCTGGAGAAGGACAAAGGTCAGAGGGCAAAGGTCAATGGATGGAATAACCATTGTTTGAATATTTGGGTATGGAGGAGGATCCATAACAGCAGTTATAATATAATAAATAATAATAATATGCCATTTAGCAGACGCTTTTATCCAAAGCGACTTACAGTCATGCGTGCATAAATTTTTGCGTATGGGTGGTCCCGGGGATCGAACCCACTACCTTGGCGTTACAAGCGCCGTGCTCTACCAGCTGAACTATAGAGGTCTCCTATGTTAATGTTAATTTGGGTATGGAGGAGGATCCATAACAGCAGTTAGTTCTCCTATGTTAATGTATATTTGGGTATGGAGGAGGATCCACAACAGCAGTTAGTTCTCCTATGTTAATGTATATTTGGGTATGGAGGAGGATCCACAACAGCAGTTAGTTCTCCTATGTTAATGTATATTTGGGTATGGAGGAGTGAGGAGTCGAGGACCTATACAATACAGAAAGCATTTTTAATCCGGCATAGAGTCCTAAAGTAATTTGTAACCCAGGTTGGACTGTATTAAAGTCAAATTTTTTCAACAAAGGCACAGGGTATATTGGGAAATTTGGCAGGTCTTTAGTATAGCCTAAGGAATGTGAGGGTTAAACTAGTTCAGTTCCTTTCACTACCCTATCACCAGGTAATAAATGACCAGAATTCACCCCCTTCTGTTTGCTTCCTTTTAAACCCTTGTTTCAGAGCTCTGTTAGGGTGCTCACTCCTGATCACACCGACCGCTTCTGGCACTAACAGCCCATTAGAGTGCAGCACGGTTGCTTTAAACCCTCCAACAACACCACCTTTGATTGGGCACTTTGGTGATCATGCTGACAGCCTGTGGCAGTCCTAGCCAATCAGAGAGCCCTGTCCTGTCGCTCCCCAGTAACTAAACATAACCCCTGAGCCGGGGTTCATCCTGAGGTGGAGAGAGGCACAGCAAACCTCTCTCTGCTCTGCTGTTGCTCTCCAATTAACCTCCTCGGGTTGTGTAGTGTGCAGTCAGCGACCCCTTTAAATGCTCCAATCAATACCAGGGAGGTTGAAAACCCCATTGAGCCCAGCCCTTTTTCATGCAATCCCAATCGAGGCGAGTGCTTGGCCATTATGTATGCACTGCTGGACTGCTGCACAGTCACCCACTGACTGACTGATCCACTGATATGGCCGTATGCATGGGGCTTTAACGGGCAGGTCACAGTGTACACACACACACAGCAGAGAGAGATACCTGACATTACGTGTATCACGGTGGCTTTCCAGATAGGTAATAGTTACATAGCTGTGCTGATCGATGTGGTGAGGCCACATTCCGTTTGGAATTGCTCTTTGAGCAGCAAGGATTTCCAGCTGTGTTTCAGTACCTGCTGTGAACCAACTGTGAACGAAACACAGCGCTTTGGACAAGGGTTTAAACTGAAGCAAATCAATAATATCCAAGCAGCAATGAGACAGTTGGTCAGTTACACTCCCTATGAATACCCTCTTCATAATGCATTATGTATGCCTGTATAGCCTTCTGCAATGCATTATAACGCACAACATAGGCACTAATAGCTGCTCATAATCATCTAGAACTGTGTTCTGTGTGAATTGGAGCTCTACACTGTACATTTAAGAAAGTGAGAGGGACTTACCCAATTCATCCCATAGCTGCCGGCACTTGTCTGTCATGCCAGTCCCCTGCTGCCTCCACAGAGAGAGGCGAGGGTCGGCCATGAACTGTTCCGTGATCAGGGTCAACATCCTGGCACCGTTAGAGTCGCGCATCCGCAGCATCTCCCGCACCTACAGAAAACATTCATTAATATACAGTAAGTCATCCGGGATTGATTTTGATACTGAATGTTCATGCAGACAGACAGACAGACAGACAGACAGGCGTACCTTGGCGAACATGGAGTTGAGCTGCTTCCCGGAGCCGTAGTACCCTCCCTGAGACAGGAACAGTTTGACCTGCTCCCTGACCTGCTCCTCGTCCAGGTGCCAGCAGTTGTCGTCATCGATGCTGGCCCCTGCCGTGGGGTCCGGGGCCCCTGGGAACACAAACAGAAAGAGACAATGTCAGACCAAGGACTAATGAAACACATAATAACCAAAAGCTAGGCTCCAAAAGCATGCCTTATATCAATAATCACAAACTGTCAAACACATCTCAAAACTAACCCCATATAAGACATCAAAGCAGGAGTTTGTTCAATATTTTTCTAATTAAGCAAACACCTAAAGAACAGGAACAGAGTGTGACCCCTAGGTGCGTAGGCGTCCTATAGGTAGCCCCAACACCCATTTGATCTGCCTAGAACTACCAACTGAAGTCCTGCCAAGGCACTGTTGTATCCGAATGTTCACATTCCACAATGAAAGCCTCAACTCATAGCATTGTCAAGGGGGCTCCCACTTCAACTCACTGACTCCCCATAGCAACAAAACCTGTAGACTGGGAGATGGACTTCTTTGTTAAGAGGCTGGGGTGGGTAAATATTTAGAGAGTGATGTGGAGAGATAGCAGACTGCAGAGTTCCTCTGTTTTTCAGACTAGGGGGATAACAGGGGGTTTCATGCCGAGCTAGAGTAGTTAGGAATGTTAGAACGTTGGCTCGGTGTCTGACTGACTTTCTTCTTCGTTTGACTCTTTTTCAGACTTTCAGAAATGCAAAGCACCAGCAGGCTGGGAGACAGACATCAAACAGGCTGTTTGAAGCCTCTGAGTCCTCGCTGCTGCTTTGGTACTGCAAATCAGGGCTCTGTCAGACTGGGCACACCTTGCTGTTCAAGCCCACCAGAGGATGGTTGGGGTAGAAACTAAGGAGTGTAAGGGACTAGCAGAGGCTCTGGGTGAAGCACAATATGTGGCCATCTTGTGACTTGTAGGCCCTATAAGCTCTGAAACCCTGTTGTTCTAGGTCTAAACACCTGTGCTAAACGTGAACAAACTGTTCACCAAATTTGAACACAGCGACCTTATGTTATGTCCAACAACTGATGTCTTGGTGGTGTGTGTCTTTCTTACCATGGACCTGGTTGATCTCAGAGTTGGATGACAGGATCTCGTCAGCCAGTTTCTGGGCGGTGGGCAGCACCTCTGTGTGGTGGGCTGTGATGAGGTACTGCACCAGCTTCTGTAGCTGGTCTCTGTTCATTTGGAACAGGGTCTCTGAGATGGGCAGCCGCAGCTTGACCTGCTCCGGCTTCCTGATGCGGTACAGGGACAGCGCTACCACGTGGGCGCAGTAGAAGATGTCGCGGTTGCCACAGCCGCAGGTGACCGAGGTGATCTTGCAGCGGTCGAAGCTGATGGCCACCTTGTGGGTGACCTCAGGCTCCGACTGGGAGGCGGGCTCCATGACCGTGCCACTGAGGTGGAACCCTGGAGAGACAGAGAAGACTGGTGTCAGCAGACTTGATCAACATTTAAATGACTGCTGTGATTTCACATCTTCCCCTTTAGCTCAGATGAAAGATAGTTGTGACTCAGCACTCTAAAAGTCACATGAGCAATGAAGGGGTTATCAAACCTTTCTGGCAACGTACCCACAAACCCATAGAAAGAATCCTGTGTAGTAATATGTGATAGAGTTAACCTTTACAAAGCGAGCACCAACGAAAACAATTAATCTACCATAAAGCACTCTGGGATTGAGGTAGCAGTATAACAAACAGTTCAAGGGAAGGTAGAAGTTCAAGCCACGTAACACAATGGTCTTACAATAATAAAACAGTGAGGGCAGATTACAGTTCATAAAGGGACTCTAAAAGAAACGGTTTGTATTATCTTATCAGTTAACTTAACTAAAAAGGGAGTAGATAAGATAGTGAAGTTGAAAGCTGATACTAGTTAAATGCGTCTGGACCACATGAAAGATTTTCACAGGAAATGCTCCTGACTGCCTGCCTGCAAGATTGTGACATATTTGAGGCTTGAAGTCAGTCATTCGGTCAGTGAGGGGCAAAGGGAGGGAGAAAGGGAGCGCATGCAGCAGGGGGATGGGAAAGGGAAGTGTGTGTCCGATAGAAAGTCTGGCAACTCACTTTGACTGGTAAATTATTAATGACGGAGGGAGGTCCAGAGAGGGGGCTGGGAGAACAGAGATGGATCACTATAACACAGTATCACACCAAACCATAGCAACCAGGCCTGCTACAGTCACACATAACATACACAGAGGGAGAGAGAGAGGGAGGCAGGTGGAGAGAGACATTTACATAGATTTAGAATGTGAGAAGTGGAGAGAGAGAGAGAGAGAGAGAGAGAGAGAGAGAGAGAGAGAGAGAGAGAGAGAGAGAGAGAGAAAATCAGTACCACAGGTCACTTCCACAAAGCTGTGAACGATCTGAGAGACAAGGCAAGAAGGGCCTTCTATGCCATCAAAAGGAACATTACATTCAACATACCAATTAGAATCTGGCAAAAAATACTTAAATCAGTTATAGAACCCATTGCCCTTTATGATTGTGGGGTCTGGGGTCCGCTCACCAACCAATAATTCACAAAATGGGACAAACACCAAATTGAGACTCCGCATGCAGAATTCTGCAAAAATGTACAACGTAAAATGCCAAATAATGCATGCGGAGCAGAATTAGGCCGATACCCGCTAATGATAAAAATCCAGAAAAGAGCCGTGAAATTCTACAACCACCTAAAAGGAAGCGATTCCCAAACCTTCCATAACAAAGCCATCACCTACAGAGAAATGAACCTGGAGAAGAGCCCCCTAAGCAAGCTGGTCCTGAGGCTCTGTTCACAAACAGACCCCACAGAGCCCCAGGACAGCAACACAATTAGACCCAACCAAAATCATGAGAAAACTAAAAGATAATTACTTGACACATTGGAAAGAATTTACAAAAAAAACTGCAGTTGAATGCTATTTTGCCCTAAACAGAGAGTACACAGTGGCAGAATATCTGACCACTGTGACTGACCCAAAATTAAGGATATCTTTGACTATGTACAGACTCAGTGAGCATAGCCTTGCTATTGAGAAAGGCCGCCGAAGGCAGACCTGGCTCTCAAGAGAAGACAAGCTATGTGCACACTGCCCACAAAATGAGGTGGAAACTGTGCTGCACTTCCTAACTTCCTGCCAAATGTATGACCATATTAGAGACACATATTTCCCTCAGATTACGCAGACCCACAAAGAATTCGAAAACAAATCCAATTTTGATAAACTCCCATATCTATTTGGTGAAATACCAGTGTGCAATCACAGCAGCAAGATGTGTGACCTGTTGCCACAAGAAAACGGCAACCAGTGAAGAACAAACACCATTGTAAATACAACCTATATTTATGTTTATTTATTTTCCCTTTTTTACTTTAACTATTTGCACATCATTACAACACTGTAATGATAAATATGGCGCCCGGAGGGGATGGCTGCCATTTTATGGACTCTTAACCAACCGTGCTATTTTGTTAGTTTTTTCACGTTGTTTGTAACTTATTTTGTAGATAATGTTACTGCTATGACCGAAAAGAGCTTCTGGACATCAGAACAACGATTACTCACCTTGAACTGGACTAATCCTTTTTCTTTAATGAGTCGGACGAGAGGGATTTGCTCTAGACACTCGACAGGGCCCTCATCCCAGTCATTCGCAGGAGAAAGAGATGGAGATATCACGGAAGGAGATCGGGGTGCTTGATATGGAGGCGGCGACGAGTGGCTAATCTACCCTTGCCATCGGTACTATTGGCCAACGTACAATCGCTGGATAATAAAGTGGACGAACTAAAAGTACGTATATCCTACCAACGGCACATTAAAAACTGTAATATTTTATGTTTCACCGAGTCGTGGCTGAACGACGACATGAATAACATACAGCTGGCGGGTTTTACACTGTATCGGCAGGATAGAACAGCAGCCACTGGTAAGACAAGGGGTGGCGGTCTATGTATATTTGTAAACAACAGCTGGTGCACGATATCTAAGGAAGTCTCAAGGTTTTGCTCGCCTGAGGTAGAGTATCTCATGATAAGCTGTAGACCACACTATCTACCAAGAGAGTTTTCATCTATATTCTTCGTAGCTGTCTATTTACCACCACAAACCGATGCTGGCACTAAGACCGCATTCAATGAGCTGTATTCGGCCATAAGCAAACAGGAAAACGCTAATCCAGAGGCGGTGCTCCTAGTGGCCGGGGACTTTAATGCAGGGAAACTTTAATCTGTTTTACCTCATTTCTACCAGCATGTTAAATGTGCAACCAAAGGGAAAAAAACTCTAGACCACCTTTACTCCACACACAGAGACGTGTACAAAGCTCTCCCTCGCCCTCCATTTGGCAAATCTGACCATAATTCTATCTTCCTGATTCCTGCTTACAAGTAAAAACTAAAGCAGGAAGCACCAGTGGTCAATAAAAAAAAGTGGTCAGATGAAGCAGATGCTAAGCTACAGGAAGGTTTTGCTAGCACAGACTGGAATATGTTCCGGGATTCTTCCGATGGCATTGAGGAGTACACCACAGTCACTGGCTTCATCAATAAGTGCATCGATGACGTCGTCCCCACAGTGACTGTACGTACATACCCCAACCAGAAGCCATGGATTACAGGCAACATCCGCACTGAGCTAAAGGGTAGAGCTGCTGCTTTCAAGGAGCGGGACTCTAACACGGAAGGTTATAAGAAATCCCACTATGCCCTCCGACGAACCATCAAACAGGCAAAGCGTCAATACAGGACTAAGATCGAATCGTACTACACCGGCTCCGACGCTCGTCGGATGTGGCAGGGCTTGCAAACTATTACAGACTACAAAGGGAAGCACAGCCGCGAGCTGCCCAGTGACACGAGCCTACCAGACGAGCTAAATTACTTCTATGCTCGCTTCGAGGCAAGTAACACTGAAACATGCATGAGAGCATCAGCTGTTCCGGACGACTGTGTGATCACGCTCTCCATAGCCGATGTGAGTAAGACCTTTAAACAGGTCAACATTCACAAGGCCGCAGGGCCAGACGGATTACCAGGATTTGTACTCCGAGCATGCGCTGACCAACTGGCAAGTGTCTTCACTGACATTTTCAACCTCACCCTGTCTGAGTCTGTAATACCAACATGTTTCAAGCAGACCACCATAGTCCCTGTGCCCAAGAACACTAAGGTAACCTGCCTAAATGACTACCAACCCGTAGCACTCACGTCTGTAGCCATGAAGTGCTTTGAAAGGCTTGTCATAGCTCACATCAACACCATTATCCCAGAAACCCTAGACCCACTCCAATTTGCATACCGCCCAAACATATCCACAGATGATGCAATTTCTAGTGCACTCCACACTGCCCTTTCACACCTGGACAAAAGGAACACCTACAGTATCTCACAAAAGTGAGTACACCCCTCACATGTTTGTAAATATTTGAGTATATCTTTTCATGTGACAACACTGAAGAAATGACACTTTGCTACAATGTAAAGTAGTGAGTGTACAGCTTGTATAACAGTGTAAATGTGCTGTCCCCTCAAAATAACTCAACACACAGCCATTCATGTCTAAACCACTGGCAACAAAAGTGAGTACACCCCTAAGTGAAAATGTCCAAATTGGGCCCAATTATCCATTTTCCCTCCTTGTGTCATGTGACTCGTTAGTGTTACAAGGTCTCAGGTGTGAATGGGGAGCAGGTGTGTTAAAGTTGGTGTCATCGCTCTCACACAAAAAATAATTGTTGCTCTACATAAAGATGTCCTGGGCTTTAAGAAGATTGCCAAGACCCTGAAACTGAGCTGCAGCACGGTGGCCAAGACCATACAGTGGTTTAACAGGACAGGTTCCACTCAGAACAGGCCTCGCCATGGTCGACCGAAGAAGTTGAGTGCACGTGCTCAGCGTCATATCCAGAGGTTGTCTTTGGGAAATAGACGTATGAGTGCTGCCAGCATTGCTGCAGAGGTTAAAGGGGTGGGGGGGTCAGCCTGTCAGTGCTCAGACCATACGCCGCACACTGCATCAAATTGGTATGCATGGCTGTCGTCCCAGAAGGAAGCCTCTTCTAAAGATGATGCACAAGAAAGCCCGCAAACAGTTTGCTGATGACAAGCAGACTAAGGACATGGATTACTGGAACTATGTCCTGTGGTCTGATGAGACCAAGATAAACTTATTTGGTTCAGATGGTGTCAAGCGTGTGTGGCAGCAACCAGGTGAGGAGTACAAAGACAAGTGTGTCTTACCTACAGTCAAGCATGGTGGTGGGAGTGTCATGGTCTGGGGCTGCATGAGTGCTGCCGGCACTGGGGAGCTACAGTTCATTGAGGGAACCATGAATGCCAACAGGTACTGTGACATACTGAAGCAGAGCATGATCCCCTCCCTTCGGAGACTGGGCCACAGGGCAGTATTCCAACATGATAACGACCCCAAACACACCTCCAAGACGACCACTGCCTTGCTAAAGAAGCTGAGGGTAAAGGTGATGGACTGGCCAAGCATGTCTCCAGACCTAAACCCTATTGAGCATCTGTGGGGCATCCTCAAATGGAAGGTGGAGGAGTGCAAGGTCTCTAACATCCACCAGCTCCGTGATGGAGTGGAGGAGTGGAAGACGACTCCAGTGGCAACCTGTGAAGTTCTGGTGAACTCCATGCCCAAGAGAGTTAAGGCAGTGCTGGAAAATGATGGTGGCCACACAAAATATTGACACTTTGGGCCCAATTTGGACATTTTCACTTAGGGGTGTACTCACTTTTGTTGCCAGCGGTTTAGACATTAATGGCTGTGTGTTGTGTTATTTTGAGGGGACAGCAAATTTACACTGTTATACAAGCTGTACACTCACTACTTTACATTGTAGCAAAGTGTCATTTCTTCAGTGTTGTCACATGAAAAGATGTACTCAAATATTTACAAAAATATGAGGGGTGTACTCACTTTTGTGAGATACTGTATGTGAGAATGCTATTCATTGACTACAACTCAGCGTTCAACACCATAGTGCCCTCAAAGCTCATCACCAAGCTAAGGACCCTGGGACTAAACATCGCCCTCTGCAACTGGACCCTGGACTTCCTGACGGGCCGCCCCCAGGTGGTAAGGGTAGGTAACAACACATCCGCCACGCTGATCCTCAACACGGGGGCCCCTCAGGGGTGCGTGCGCAGTCCCCTCCTGTACTCGCTGTTCACTCATGACTGCATGGCCAGGCACGATTCCAACACCATCATTAAGTTTGCCGATGACACAACAGTGGTAGGCCTGATCACCGACAAAGACGAGACAGCCTATAGGGAGGAGGCCAGAGACCTGGCCGTGTGGTGCCAGGACAACAACCTCTCCCTCAATGTGATCAAGACAAAGGAGATGATCGTGGACTACAGGTTAAGAGCTTCAAGTTCCTTGGTGTCCACATCAACAACAAACTAACATGGTCCAAGCACACCAAGACAGTCATGAAGAGGGCACGACAAAACCTATTCCCCCTCAGGAGACTGAAAAGATTTGGCATGGGTCCTCAGATCCTCAAAAGGTTCTACAGCTGCACCATCTAGAGCATCCTGACTGGTTGCATCACTGCCTGATCTGGCAACTGCTCGGTCTCCGACCGCAAGGCACTACAGAGAGTAGTGCGTATGGCCCAGTACATCACTGGGGCCAAGCTTCCTGCCATCCAGGACCTCTATACCAGGCGGTGACAGAGGAAGGCCCTAAAAATTGTCAAAGACTCCAACCACCCTACTCATAGACTGTTCGCTCTGCTACCGCACGGCAAGCGGTACCGGAGTCTAGGTCCAAGAGGCTTCTAAACAGCTTCTACCCCAAAGCCATAAGACTCCTGAACATCTAATCAAATGGCTACCCAGACTATTAGCATTTTCTTTGGGGGGTATTCTTTCTTAAAACCGCATTCTTGGTTAAGGGCTTGTAAGTAAGCATTTCACTGTAAGGTCTAAACCTGTTGTATTCTGCGCATGTGACAAATACAATTTGATTTGATATAGACATAATGACACTTGAAATGTCTTTATTTAGGAACTTTTGTGAGTGTAATGTTTACTGTTAATTTTTTATTGTTTATTTCACTTTGCCAATAAAGCCCTTAAATTGAATTCGAGAGAGAGAGAGAGTTTCCTGACCTTAAACACACTCTACTCATTTCATTTCTATGCTCACTGGCTGCATGGCTATGGTAGCATACCTGGCTACCCATAGTACACACAGAACAGAGGGTACACTACACACACTAACACACCATAGATGATTATATTTAAAAAAATAAAAACTTAGTGAGCTCAGCAAGCCGAGGCTAAGCTAATTATCACCAAATGGGGTCCTGTCTGTCTGGCGGCAGAAGAGCACTGCTACCATAGCAAGTGAACTGTAACAGACCTGGAATGCCTAACACACAAACACACACACACACAATTCATTCTAGGGTTAGAGTAGTGAGACAGGGGTGCCTAATAAGCATGAGTAAAGCCTGTCGTCCTCTTACCAAATCCCACAAAAGGCTTTTCCAGACGAGTTCTTCTGAGAAACTAGCCCCCCTCTTACCCAGTTCTTTTTTTTCCTCTGGGGAAAGAAATCCAACGTCCAATTTACTGCCAAGCCCTTTCAGGCAGAGCCAAAACCACAGGCCCATCTGATTAAGGGGAGTTTATGGTGATGTCTGTTTTCATTTTGATAAAATAAAAGGAAAGGGGCTACCCCTATGTGTTGCAAATTACTTGCAGCACAATGCAGAGTTCAATGTGAATTTGGTGAAAGACAACGATGCATGGAAACCTTGTGGTGGAGAAAATGGCGGACTTGTGTTTACTGCATACATTTTTCTTCGAGGCATCGGCAATCAAATATTGTACTGTACAAGTATGCTCTTGTCTATTTTCAAGGCAGTGTTGTAAAACTGGTGCTGTATATCAATGTGACAGAAACAAGGGAACAAAGTAGTGAACAAAGTAGTTAACTAGTAAGATGTGGGATACTATTCTTTCTGATAATCTGTGTTTTTCAGCAGATGAGCAGATTCAAATGGAGAATGATAGTTCTCATGTTGTTGTAAGGATTTGAGTTATTTCACAGCAAACCTACAGTACGTATGTATGTCATAACCTTAACCTACCTAATAATATTAGCAACCTATAATTAAACATTCCAACAATCCTAAGGAACCCACCAGAGACAATAAGGTAAAAACGAGTCATCTCTGTTACTAACAGAGTTGACATGTCACCCATTTTACATTTTACATTTTAGTCATTTAGCAGACGCTCTTATCCAGAGCGACTTACAGTTAGTAAGTGCATACATTATTTTTTTATACTGGCTCCCTGTGGGAATCGAACCCACAACCCTGGCGTTGCAAATGCCATGCTCTACCAACTGAGCTACATCCCTCATGTCAACTCTGTTAATGCTCATCACCATGCTCTATGGCAGTTCAGTTTGATGTAACAGTGAGCCATCAGAGTGAACAACATCGGAGTAGATGACACAGACGAGCGAGAGGGGGTGACTAATGTGTTTTAACTCTCTACTGTTTTACAGCTCTGAAGAGATGGGATCTAGCCTCCAGAGAGCTGATGAGAGGAAAGAACTGCTGCACTGAAAGGTTTTGTTTACAGAACAAACGTGATCTTATGAATTGAAACGCGTACGTAGAATACGGCTGACGCCCATCATTGTCTTTGGCAGTTGCACAAGAAGAGACGTGCATGGGTTTACAATCATATCAAGATGTCTCTTTAACTAGAAAAAACAAGGCCTGACAACTATATGTAGAGTACCACTACAATGTGTCACCTATGCAGGTCTTCTACAGAGTCATTAGTTAGACCCAGGGGCCTCTCTCACCTCTGCGGTCAGTCAGTGTATGCCGAGTGGCTGCAGACTGCAGTAAGGGGCCTGTACTGGGGGTGATGACTAGGAGGCCCCATATCTGTGCTGCAGTGTGTGTCTGAATCTGACAGTTGCTGCAGTGCCACAGCCTGCTGCTGGGGTTATGAGGGGCAGGCAGGGTAGGGTGGCTCCTCATCTCCTTTCACAGTTCTCCCTTCAGTAGAGAGCCAGACATCTGCCGCTGATGGACGTGAAGGGTCCTCCTCGCCTTTCAGCCAGGGGCTCCCGTTTCCCCCTAGCCACCCCAACCCCCGCCCCCTCGGCCCGTCTTTTGTTGGCCGGCCGCGATGCTGAATGTGATCCTGCCGTCCCTTACCGCTGCTCTTTTCTTTTCGGTCTTTCTCTAGAAGCTGAGAGCAATGCAATCCCCCTCTTCTTTGAATCCTCCTTCGTTCTGCACTGTGTGTGTGTGTGTGTCCTTCCTGTACCTGGCCCAGACCCTGTAAACACTGATGCTCTTCTAGACGAGGTGTGTGTGTGTGTGTGTGTCCTGAGGAGGAGGGTCTGGGTGTCGTCAGCAAAAGGAGTGGTGGTGTCAGTTCAGTCACAAGGCAAGACGCTGCTGCATTGGTCAGTCGGTCAGTCAGTCAGTCAGGGAGTAGTAATCAACACACTGCCACTGCTAATATGGATCAGACTGTCACTCTGCACACTCTGTGACAACTCTCAATTGTCTCCTAGAAGAGTCCCAAGCAGGATGCCATGGCCAGCCAGGCATAGAGGAGGACAGCTGATTTTGGAGGTTGGGGAGGGATGAGGAGGAAGAAGGTGGAGGAGGAGGAGGAGGGACCATGTGGCATAATGTTTCATGTATACAAGCTTGTGCGGGCCGGACCAAAACAGCAGAGAAGTGGCTATAGAAAAACATGTGAGGCCTCCGTCAGAGACCAGGCCAGGGTCGCCCTAGTCACTGCAGCACTAACTACAGTAAGAGGCCCTTTGCACTGCAAAATCACCAGGTCTGAATCAGCTATAGGGGTCAGATCTAAGAGAAGCAGCTGAACCTCCCTTTTCTCTTCTCCAGAACAGTACTGGGACAGTGACATCACACCTTAGAGGTCCCTACCCTTCTCACCACACTGGCTTTGTTCATTATGACAGAGATATGCAAAACCATCACAGCAACACAATTCGATATAGAATTTTATTTTTCTTTGCTTTTTTCGGTACTGTTGTAATCGAGGGGCCGGGTGGGTAAAGCCCCTAAATAGATGAATTTCTAACAATGGTGAAATTAATGTATGGTTCTGGGAGCGCTGCCAGCCTCCACAAAGCTGATTTGATCCTCAGCAGAAGCACATGGCTGTATGCCCCTGGGGAAGAGCTGTGCTGTGGGGGAGGAGCTTGGATGGACGCAGCCTACATGGATGCTACATGAACAATATGACTGAGCCAGGGGAGGGAGGGGGTTCCTTTCATTCATCTTACTCTACACTTTATCCCATCCATCCATCTATCCATCCATCCATCCATCCATCCATCTATCCATCCATCTATCTATCCATCTATCTATCCATCCATCCCAAGCGACTTGGTTTACACCTTTATAGGTAAAACGAGTCCTCATATGTCTGACTAGGATCTAGGCGGAGTTAGGCAGTAAGACATTGAGACGTCTGGGATCAGCTCATTGATCCGTATGCTGCAGTGTCTAATAGTCATAATAATTAATCTGAGGGGGATGCTGCTAATGCAGCTCCCTCAGTCTGTAGCCTGGGCTAGCCTGGGCTTTTAGACTCATTTACTCTGCTGAGCCCACCAACCATCTGTCTACTGCAACGATGGCTGCTCGCTGGATGCAGTGGTGAGGTTGGGGTTAAACGCGTAGGCCTTCCATAGAAGGGAACGAGAGAGAGGAGGATAGAAGATGACAGGAGAGCGAGAGAACCCCCTCAGTTGTATTTGTATTTATTAAGGATCCCCATTACCTACTGCCAAGGCAACTCTTCCTGGGGTCCAAACAAATTAAGGCAAAAACAAAAATACAACAAAACCGTAGATATAACTTTACACCACTATCTAAAATACAACATTTGTAATACCACCATACATACGTGTGTGTAGAGTGTGTGTGCATATGTATGTCCTCCCTCCCTCCCTCCCTCCCCGCTCCACTCACTGGGTCTGCACCATCTGCCACTCTGCCGGCCCGCCCACGCGGGACCCGCCAACCAATCAGAGGGCAGTCCCTCCCTACTCTTAAACCATTAACCTCTAATCAGCCGTGGAGGCTGAGCTAGAGATCTGTATGGCAGGCAGGCAGGGAGATGGGGCAGGGCCAACACAGCACACACAGTACTGCCTAGGACCCCCCTCTCTCTACCCAGCCCAGTCTACCCCAGCCCATCTTCCATCTGTTCCAGCAGCAAGGAGGTTAACACAGCCACCCCTGCCCCCCACCCGTCTATCTCCACACAACATGCATGCATATGTACAGACACACACATTCAGCGTCACACAAGGCCCCGGCCCCACTGATCAGATAAAGGCCTGATTGATTCATTTGTGATTTCCCAACAGCACCATCATGGCCCCAGCACTGGGAGCCATTTGTGGGGAATGCTCTAAGTGAAGATTGTGTTCGTTTTTTATGATCATGTTTTGTAATTTAAGTATTTGATTGTGTTTTGTATTGATGTGTGTGTTTGTATTGTGCAGGGCTCATTGAAAAAGACACTTGGTCTCAATATGACACCCTGATAAAAAAAAAGGTTAATAATAACATTTGTCATGATCATATTCAATTTATTTCTGATTCACTTGAATTATACTGCATGGAATAAAGGAGGGGAGTTTAATCAACTTCCTTTCACTGGGCGTCCCTTAAACACTGGCATCTATGAAAATCTATGATAAGATGCCTCAGCCAATTTCCAATTACCTTGTGATGTGTACTGAGCTTGTAGACTAGTCGTTGGGTTGGTGGTGTGTGGGGGGAGCATTAGCTAACAACGCAGCACTTGGGAAGATCAAAACAATAATTTAGCACCTGATGCAAACCAGACCTGGCTGAAGTCTCTTTATTCTACTGCTGATCATTCATAGATACAGGCAGGAGAGAAGTCTTAGAGGAAGAGATAAATATGAGAGCAAGAGATAAATATGAGAGCAAGAGAGAAATGTGAGAGCAAGAGAGAAAGGAGAAGATGAATAGTAGCACGTTGGGATGGGCCGTAAGTACATACAGATGTCCTGCTCAAGAAAGTCAACTCTTCAACGACGAGCCCAACAGAATGGGAGGGGGATATCCCCTCATTGTTATTTTGGTTCAAGGTCTTCATGGCTGCCATACTAAAAGCAGTGTTGAGAAAGCATATATTCAAACCCTTTCCCCAACCAAGTCAAGACGTTGTAGTGGGGCAACAACAGTGAAGGTTCCTTGTGTGTGGAGGGTAAATTGAATTCCCCTTGAATGGCGCTGTGCAATGTGCAGGCAGAGCGCAAACGGGGGAAAAATGCAGTATATCCAATGTTCCTTGCAAACAAACACCTGGGTTATTCCAATCAATACACAGTACAGCTCTTACGGGGCCTTGGTGGTGTGTACATAAACTGGCCAGCCTTCTCCTCCCTCCTCTGTGTGTGAGCAAACCTCTTACCCAAGGCCAAATAAATAAAGGATAGAGATCTGGTGTTTTGCAGCCTTTGTTTGCGTGCCTCACATTGTGCTTTGGCCTTGTGTGTGGAGGGAAGGAGCTGCGGTTAGCGGGTTAGCGGCTAGCTGAGGGGCCAGAAGAGAAGCTGACAGCTCCCAAAGGTCACAAAGCTGCATTTATCCCCCAATTACTGTTAGATCAGGCCAGCTCAGCCCCTCAACACTACCCTGCCACGATGCTCATATCAACCGCCTATAGTCTCTCCAGTCTCTACAGAATGGCCCCTAAAGCACCCATCTAACACTGGATCACTCATCTTTTAAGGCACGTTGGCCTTTTGTCATGTGTGCCCTTAAAATGTAAGGGTTCCTGTTTACTATACAAGCACGCACCAAACCATCTGCCACCGTCTTGTTGTGATTGACAAGGGGCAGTCAGGGTGGCACAATGCCTCTTTTGAGGCGTGTTTCTTCTTGAAGCACGGTCTTTCATATAACTACTCACAAAAGCAAAATGTTGCCCGTCACCAATGTGAAAATGTGCAAAGAATGGCAAGTGACTAAAGACAGAAACAGGCTCTGATGTTAACATTTGCTCTGTTGACAAAGCACAAAGTAAAACATTTGTGTGTACAAAACATTATGAACACCCCCCTTTTGCCCTCAGAACAGCCTCAAATCATCGGGGCATGGACTCTACAAGGTGTTAAAAGCGTTCCACAGGAATGCTGGCCCATGTTGACTCCAATGCTTCCCACACTTTAACCAGTTTCCTCCCCTTCATCTACACTGATTGAAGTGGATTTAACAGCTGACATCAATAAGGGATCATAGTTTTCACCTGGATTCACCTGGTCAATCTTTGTCATGAAAAGAGCATTGTTCCTAATGTTTTGCACACTCAGTATATAATCACAATTTCTAGCATAACTTATTTACCTTCAGTTGTAAACCAGTCTCAGATGGAAACAAACAAAAACAAAGGAAACTTCAAGGAAGGACAAGAAACTTATAAGAAGCTTAGAAAGTCTAAAGATACTGTGAGCTTGTCGGGACTCAAACCTCATCCTCCCCCCACCCCACAAGTCAAACCATTTCTCTCGCACAATAACCGCCATAATGACGCGGCAGCTAAGAGCAAATGTACGGCTGAGGCGAGATGACATCTCCATTGGTCCAATAACAAGCTAGAAATAACCGATCTGCAATTGGGCTTCTGGTCGACTTCATAAAATGCTCATCAAGCCAAGCATAGCATATGGACCAGGACAAAACCAGAGGGCCTGACACAAAGGATGGGGCATGATATGAAGCTTTGTCTTGCATGCATTATGATGCTGCCTGGGACCCTGAAGGTGTGTTGTGTTCTGTAAAGACAGGCTTCAGATCAGCTGAAGCGAAGGCAATGTAATGGCGGCATCTCTAATTACCACTCCTCCCCTTCTCCCCCCTCCTCCCTTCCTCCTCCATTGTCTGCCCCCTTCTCTAGGCCGCCTTCTTTCACCCCTCCCTTTCTTTCAGGGGACTGCCTTGCCTTGTGA